GCCACGTGTGGAGTCATCCTACAGGAAAGGCAGCTGTCAGGTGAATCAGGGCAGCATCTCACTCAGTAGGTCAGCTGCTTCAAGGGGAGAGATGGCAAGAGGTACTTCCAAAGATAAGCGCCAGGCTCACAGCTTCTGTCTGCCAGAATTCTCTATAGGGTGGTGGGAATTACCATCACTAAAAGGCTTTTTCAAACCCCACATGCTGCCATCCCATGCCAGTAACTTTTCCGTGAGCTGGCTATTACTGATAGAAGTGGGCTGCAGCTGTCAAATATGCTATGCTAGGATGCAAAAATACAATTAAGGGAACCTCTATCTTAAAAGGCCAAGGGAGGAAAAGGACAAATAAAACATGCAGGAAATTCTGCCAAAGACTTGCTTATAATACTTTAGGGTATTGGCCAAATCCCTTAACAAAAATCAATTAAAACTACTCCTTTCTCCCCCAGATTCTGCAAACAGTAGAATCCCATTTGGATAAGCACTTACTTAATAATGTAGTTACTTCTCTCTTACTCCTCTTAGCTTATTATCATCATTGATCCACATCTAGGACCCTTACTCTACAAGGGAAAAGCCAAATTTCCTTCAATACTCCATCAAAGACACATTCAGAACATGTCCTAGCACATATCCAGGAGCTCCAACGTCAAATCTGTGAGGTTACAAACTACTGTGTATAAAATAAATAGGCTACAAGGATATGTTGTACAGTGTAGGGAACATAGCCAATACATAATATTTATAAATGGAATATAATCTACAAAATTGTGAATCACCATGTTGTACACCTGAAGTACTGTAAATCATCTACACCTCAATTTAAAAATTAATTTTTAAAAAAATTGTGAGAGATGCTCCTGATTTTATTAGAGCCCTTGTCCATTAACAAAAGATGAGAGCTTGCCAAGCCAGCAGAACTGGCTTAGTTGGTGAAATAAACACAATTCTGTAATAACTGCAAGAAAAATCTTGTGCTATGAAGGCTTCCAGTGCAGAAGAAACAACTTGCATTAAGTAAAAACGAACACACACAGGACAAAGACTCCTCTCTCCCCAGAACCAGGTCAGAGAACTAAAGCCATTTAACATCTGTCTTTCACAAGACTAATACTGGAAGTCCACCCGCACTACTTGGTCAGGCCATTTAATAGCCTGGGCAGAGAAATCTTTAGATTTTGTACTCTGATGCCCTTCATACTCCCAAGAATTCCCTTAATAATTCTGCCCAACTCCCATTGTCTAACAGACTCTTCTCTAAAGGTTCGCTGATTATTCAGTGAAGATGACTGAAAAGGACACCAATTCAGCCTCAGGAAAGAACTGAGTCCTAATTTTTCTTTCAGAGAAATTCTTATTGTTCTTTAATAGTTGCTAAACACCTATTTATTATGTGCATACGAAGCCTATACTACTGAGTAAAATATATAGGATCTGTCACTATACTACTTTCTCAGAAACTAGAAACTGTTTCCTCACTTCTACTAGGAGTTCTTACAATGCTTTGTTTCAGGGATTTACAAAAATCTTTTCCTAAGTCATTTGAAAAAAGACATAGGACAATAAACCTAGAGAAAATAGTCTAAAACAGACTACAGCTAGTTTTGAAGTCACTTAAAAATAATCACTAGTTAGGGACTCCCCTGGTGGTCCAGCGGTTAAGAATTTGCCTTGCAATACAGAGGACGCACGTTTGATCCCTGGTTGAGGATCTAAGATCCCACCTGTCAAGGAGCAACTAAGCTCATGTGACACAGCTTGAGAATCTGTGCTAGACCCTGTGGGCTGCAGCTGAGACCGATGCAATCAAGTAAGTACATATATGTATTTTAAAAATCACTAATTAAAAAAAAAGCCCAAACACATACACATATATATTAAATATAGTTACAAACAAAAAGGACTGCACATGGCTTTACTGGCCCAACAGGAGGGGATCACCAAGCAGTCAACTGAGACACTTGAAAAAACACAAATTTCCAGACCCACCCCACCTCTGCTGACCCAGAATCTGCATATAGGTTGCATAAACGTGCAGTGTGAACAAGCCACCCCAGGTGATGATGCTCACTGTGAACTTACTTACAGATCTTTTAAAATGATAACATGCTAAAAGAAATTATAGGAATTCAGGCAAGTTCAGCGAAGAGCTGGAAAACAGACCCTAAGATCTGCTGCTAAAGTTGTCTCTCTACTCTTTAATTTCACTCAAATCCTATTCAACTCTATTACCTCAGGCACCAAAAACAGGGCAGAAGGAATTACTCTGTGGCTTTAGGGAGCCCCACCAAGTCTGGTTTCCTGCCTTCTGCCCACCTGGAATGTCAGCCTTCCCTTCGGATTACCTGCTTATCTCAATGCCTCCGCACACCCACGCATTCAGTGGCTACCAGTCTAAAGACCACCAGAAAGAACAGTACAATCACTCCACCACTAGCACCGGGTGAGGCGTCGCTCTCCACTGTTCCTCTCTGATTCATCTAGTAAGCCATCAGGGAGTTGCCATTACTTTGGGTAGCAAAGAATCAAAGAAGTTCAGAGAGTTTGCCCTTAACAAGTTTTGGTCTTTAAGCTTAACTAATACTTCAAAGGACAAAACTGACTCAGTTGTGCAGAACCCAGTTTCAGGCTTAACTTTACAGAAGAGATGTGCAGTGGTGTGGGCTTGCTGTAAAGTGTCTTGAAAAAGTCTAGAAATAATCTAGAAACACTTTTGGATTGACTTACCTAAAGTTATCAAACAGCTTAAAGGAATAATTCTCAAAGATACAAGAAGTAGGGCTGTCCGTCACTTTGGTATTAAGAATGCAGAAGTTAACTGGTGGATCTACTCTAATTCCCAACTCAGATCACCTATGAAAAGACAGTATTTACAGCACAAAGCGAAGGCACCCATAGCTAATACTAAAGCCATTGCTTACTAGAAATTCATTCAGATAAACAAGAAGTCAAATAACCTTAAGGCTCTGAATGAGGTGATCTCTCCAACTCAGGTGCTCATTAAATTACCTGACAGTGAGCAGGGTAGAACAGAACAATGACTAGCTAGTCTCCTAGCAAGGTTAAAAAGTTTTCTCAGAAAAACGAATTACACCTGACTTTGAGAATCAAAGTGGTAGGCTATAAGACTATTTTTGCCTTCTAAAGCCTACCTTAATAGCAAAAGAAAAACTGAGCACCATTATTAAACTGTAGGCTAATCTGGAAAGTTCAGGCAGGTGCTAGCAATGCTGTCAGATTGAAAGACTTCTTGGTATTCTGGCTATACTGCTTAAATCTCAGGAAGTTTCCACTCCTCGGTCTGTTGAGCTTTGTTATAAGGGTCGAAAGCCTTAGAAGGGCTTCCAATATACAGGTTTCAAGGATCCTCGGGTCCAACAGGAAAGTAAACAAAACAATAATGATCACTACAATTAGGTTGCCTTGTCAATTCAAAAACTTTCTGAGTTTCTTTCCCCGGAGGTTTAAGAGAAAAACTAAATTCAAATGTAAATTCCAAAGGCTGTTTCAAATTGTAGAGTTAGCAGCTCTGGAATGAGCTAATTATAGTATCTCCTATTCAGCCAAAACACTATCCAGAACTTGCTTCTTTTCCCAAGAGGCTTCCTTTCCCTGTTCCCTGGTAGTGGAAGGAACTGTCAAGTAAGACAGGTATCTCCTAAATGGTCAGCCTCCACCATGCTGCTGAGTACCTGGAAAAACCTGTAAATGCTACAGGCTTTACCTTATCTGCCAACCATTCAAGATAACACACGGTAAGACAAAACCTTTCGAGGTTTTCCCTTTCCTCCCCTTAGGTGCTGGCAGCTTTAATTTGTCTGCAGAAGAAAAAAGTGTAAGTTCTTTGCCAAAGTCAAGGTCACTTGTGGGACTGCCCTGCTTGAATTAGAAGGCTGGGACCCCCCAGCACACCAGTCTTTCTGTTTAAAGTGCCCAGTTACCCAGAGACAAAAGTAATTTTGGCAATATGAAGTTGAAAACATTGTGTAAGCAACAACATTCCTTATAATCCCAACAACAGCAAAAGTCAAATAAACGGCCTCTCATGGGACTTCCCTGGGGGCTCAGACTCCACACTCCCAGAGCAGAGGGCCTGGATTCCATCCCTGGTCAGGGAACTAGATTCCGTGTGCTGCGGCCAAATAAATTTTTTAAAAGTAAAGGGGTCTCCCCAAAGAGGAACCTGTCTTGGGTAGAGCAGATTTAAAAGCAACAGTAAAACTCAAGTGAACAAGTAGTAGGACCGGCCATGTAACCTTGGAATTACTATTTCCCGCCCAGTTATCTTCACTTATCAGCCTGCAGTTTATAGGGACAAGTTTTCTCCAATCACATGCGATAATGATGCAGAAGGTTCTACACAAGCCCTCCACCCCACCCAAGCTCCTCCTATATAGAGTAACTGCAAAAGTCCCAAGGACAAAGAGGACCCGAGTCGCATTCCTCCAGAAGGAACTAGTATGCTTGGTCACTAAAGGTTGAAGTATCTGGGCTGGAGAAATGGAAGCCGGCAGTTCTGAAACTGACAAGGGCCTCTCTACCTAGTCGAAGCTGAAACTAGCCACGGCTCCGGCTCCGGCTCCGGCCCAGGATAGAGTGAGCACATCTGCTCACCCTTGCCACTTCTCTTAGCCAGCCCCTTCTTCCAAACAAGCTCTTTCCCTAACCCCAGTGGAATACATCTACGTTCTTCACTCCTTTTTCCAAGGCCAAGCACCCCCGCCTCTTCCACCCTTGACACGCGGGGTGACAGCTCGGTCCGGCCTTCCCACCGGCCCAAGACCTCAGGCCAGGGCGGGCAGCACTCACTTTACCCCCAAAAAGCCGGAAGGCACATAGCCCCGGGAGCTCCAAGCAGGGCAGGCGGCCAGCCAAGCGCAGGGCCCCTTTAAGACGCGCTGGGGTGCGCCTGGGTAGGGGAGGGAGACCCCGGGCTTGAGGGCCTGCGGTCGCCTCAGCCCCACCCTGGAACCGCGCGGTCCCTCCTAGTTGCTCACCTTAGCTCCGAAGAGCCGGGCGGCCGCAGTGAGTAAAGCCATGGCGGGCGAACTCGGGGAGCTGCCAGGGAGGGAAGAAGGGAAGAGAGCTGCGGCAGGAGCAGGAGGCGGCGCCGCTGCACCAGAGGCCGCGCGGACGAGGGGAACAAGGTTGAAAGGAGGAGACTGAGGGAAGGAGTAGAAGAGCCGGCGGCGGCGCCCAGCCCGGGGTCCTCGGTGAGGCCCCGCCCACCGCCCGGAACCCGCTCCCGCCCCCTCCCGCGGGGACACGCCTCGGGCTCGGCCATTGGCCCAGCGTGCGTGGGGGGGCGGGCCCTAAGCCACTGACAGCAGTTGTGGCGGGGAGGATTGGACCGTCCGGGGTCGGCTAATGGAGGGCGGTGGGCGGGGGGAAGCGTGTAGGTGGTTAAGTATGTGCCTGAGAACTCAGTTAACTTCCTTCTTAGGCTTTCCCCCTTGCCCTTAAAACGTTTAGGGTTCACTGTAAGGTGGCTATTAGAAAAAAAAGCTCCAAGGACTTTGACCTTTGAAAGGTCCTCGGAAGCCAACCTCTTAATACTATCACGGCAACTGATCCCACTCCATCGGCATGCTTTCTTGATCAATGTCATTGGTTAGTGACTTAGTGGCCATAGAGTGACATCATGAGGACACAGGCTATGATGCCAGAATTAGCTACTTGGAAATCATTTGCGGTAAGCAGAAGCCGTGGTATTATAGACACCAACAGATCCCAAAATGTGGAGAAGGAAAGCAAACGCAGGAACCTGAGTATTGGGTGGTCTTTGTCGGCAGGCAATTCTGTGATTACTGCCAGGAAACCCAAGTCTTAGGAGGTGTTATTTGCTCAGTCCTGTTCCACTCTTTGTGACTCTATGGACTGTAGCCCGCCAGGCTCCTCTGTCCATGGAATTCTCCAGGCAAGATACTAGCGTGGGTTGCCATTCCCTCCTCCAGGGGATCTTCCTGACCCGGGGATCAGAACCCAGGTCTCCTGCATCGCAGGCCAATTCTTTACCATCTATCAGACAAAGCAACTCTTACAAAGGCCCCCGTAATGTGAGAGCTTCCAGAGCAGTCCAGACCCTCTGGGTTCTGGGCATTAGCCTCATTGCCGCTCCCGTCACATAACCCCACACAACCAGTCCACACCACATATAACCAAAAGATCAGGAGCTGCAGAAGAACCCTTTACCCCAAATCATCTCCTTTTTTGTTACATCACTCCTGTTACTCTCATAGGGCCTTTGGGCCTTTACACGTACTTGGCTGTCTTCTATATACTCTTATCCTGTGCTCCCCAGAGACCGTTAAATGAACCATGGCACTGAAGTGATCTTCTATGTCATTCTTGACTAATTCTTCTGGGTAGACAAGAACTGAGAACCTTTCAACCTCTATAAGCTACCACTGTCATTGACCCGAGGGCAGAGAGGAACTGACCCACACCCCAGATGAACAGTCCTTTTATCTCCTTACATAGAAGTAACAAAGTTCGGAGGTCTCAGTACCATCTAAGCCAGGTTTAGCTAGATCCCATTTATAAAGAACCTAGTTTATAGCTTGGAAAGAGAGAAAAGAAAAGTCATTTCCTCTTGCCAGGTTTATTTATTTTATTTTATTTTTTTGGTAATTTTAAAGCTGTAATTATTATTTTTTTTTTTCATTTATTTTTATTAGTTGGAGGCTAATTACTTTACATCATTGCAGTGGTTTTTGTCATACATTGAAATGAATTAGCCATGGATTTACATGCCAGGTTTATTTATACTTAGCTTTACGCTTACCAAGCAATGCTTCTTTGGCTTGGGGATCAGATCCTAGGAAAGAACTTCATAAATAGTGCCCCAGAGGAGCACTGAACTTAGCTATCTTCTCGGTGACTTCAAAGCTCCACTGATCAATACTTGCTCCCAATTTAGCATCTCACAGAGGATTTCCTCCTAACCCTAGAATAGTTTGACCTGGTTTCTTCTCTCTGGTTAATCATCCACAGAGACTAGCCTGCAGGCCAGAGGACTGAACTCCAGTGCCCTGACAGACAGAAGGCATTCTTAGGGTGAGGCGACCCAAGGGATAATTACTGAGTGGCCATGAGGGTAACCTATTTTGGAGCTCTAATGATGAGAAGAAGAGTGGGGAACAATAATGCTTATAGTATCCTGGAGCCTAGTGTCATGAGGCCTTTATGGACTTGTTAGGGGAAACACACTGACTGAAACCGCCCACCCTGGCCAGGCACCATAGTAACTATTTGTGTGAGTTATTTTATGACAGGAGGTCCTACTAAGGAACATGGAACTAATAAGCCATCACCAACCAGAAGAGTTCAGGAAAGGTTAAAAGGAGGCACCACATGTCCGACCACCTCCCAGAAAACTCGCTGGCATTCATCTTGGCTGAGCAATCTGTGTGCCACCAAGATGAACCCTGAGTCAGAATGATTGTCCAAAGACAAGCCAAAAACTAACCCCATCACCATAAAACCTGAGACTTGGAGCCACGTGGCAGAGCAGCCCTCCTGGGTCCCCCGGCCTATAAAGCCTCTTGCTTTGTCAGCGTGTGTCTCCTCGGACAACTCATTTCTGAATATTAGACAAGAGACACTTTTCAGGCCCTGGAAATGGTCCGCCTTCCTGCAACAGACTTATTTTGAGGTTGCTCAGTCCTGACACCCATTGCTATAAGATCAATGGGAAAATCCAGGGATCAAAGGGACTGAATGGTATTTTCCAGGAACTGGCTTAGAGTCTTTTCTCTGAAGCTATTTGGGATCTGGGGAGGTAGGGAAAAAAGTTAAAGGAGAAGGATTAGCATGAATAAAGCAGCCAAGTGAATGATAGGTCCAAATACAGCTAAGTGTCTGAAAAAACTGGAGGGGACAAGGGAGAGAAGACTGAGAATTGAGGTCATCTTGACCTTGGGAATGACCTCTTTAAAATGGACAAGGGCAATAGTGCCCTCTGGTGGCCAAGGATAAGTAGAAGCATGCACCCTAAAAATTCATCAGTAAACCAAACTGCAGAAAAACATCTGCTTAACTGACTATGCTAAAGCCTTTGAATGTGTGGATCCCAACAAACTGTGGAAAATTGTTAAAGATATGGGAATACCAGAACACCTTACCTGCCTCCTGAGAAAGCTGTATGCAGGTTAAGAAACAACAGTTAGGACCAGACATAGAACAACAGACTGGTTCCAAATCGGGAAAGGACTATGTCAAGGCTGTATATTGTCACCCTGCTTATTTAACTTATATGCAGAGCACATCATGAGAAATGCTGGGCTGGATAAAGCACAAGCTGGAATCAAGATTGCAGGGAGGATTATCAACAACCTCAGAGATATAGATGACACCACCCTTATGGCAAAAAGCAAAGAGGATCTAAAGAGCCTCTTGATGAAAGGGAAAGAGGGGATTGAAAAAGTTGGCTTAAAACTCAACATTCAAAAAACTAAGATCATGGCATCCAGTCCCATCACTTCATGGAAAATAGAAGAGAAACAATGGAAACAGTGACAGACTTTATTTTCTTGGGCTCCAAAAATCACTGCAGATGGTAATTGCAGCCATGAAATTAAAAGATGTTTGCTCCTTGGAAGAAAAGCTCTGACAAACCTAGACAGCATATTAAAAAGCAGGAACATTACTTTACCGACAAAGGTCTGTATAGTCAAAGCTACGGTTTTTCCAGTAGTCACTTATGGATGCGAGAGTTGGACCATAAAGAAATCTGAGTGCCGAAGAATTGATGCTTTTGTACTGTGGTGTTGGGGAAGACTCTTGAAAGTCCCTCAAGAGTCTGCAAAGAGATCCAGCCAGTCCATCCTAAAGGAAATCAGGCCTGAATATTCATTGGAAGGACTGATGCTGAAGCTGAAACTCCAATACTTTGGCCACCTGATGGGAAGAACTGATTCATTTGCAAAGACCCTGATGCTGGGAAAGATTGAAGGCAGGAGAAGGGACAACAGACGATGCGATGGTCGGATGGCATCACTGACTCAATGGACAAGTTTGAGCAAGCTCCAGGAATTGATGATGGACAGGGAAGCCTGGTGTGTTACAGTGCATGGGGTCTGGGTCGCAAAGAGTTGGACACGACTGAGCAACTGAACTGAACTGAAACCAAACTCCTTTATTTAATAGGTAACAACTAAAATTTGTTGAGTACTTACTATTTCCAGATACTGTGTAAATGTGGTACATGTATTACCTTAACTGATCCTCACAACTCTAAGGAATGTAGGTAATACTAGTGTCTTTACATAGGAGGAACGCAAGGTTTAGATGAAAGTATCCCACTCAGGATCATAGCTCATAATTGGCATTGCTGGAATTCAGACCTAGGTTGGCCTCACTTCAGAAGCTGTATTAACTACTAAGCTGTATTGTTTATATGATGATGACTGTATATTATCAGCTGCAACTGAGGAAGGGGACTTTGAGTCATTGTTAACCGTCTCTTGGGCACATTAGCTCAGTGATATGTTTAAAGATATTTTAAAAGATAAGGAACTATAGGGAATTCCCTGGGGTTCAGTAATTAGGACTCCACACTTCCAGTGCAGGGGGCAGGGGTTTGATCCCTGGTTGGGAAACTAAACAAACAAAAAGATAAAGAACTATAGTCTCATTCATCCTGTAAAACCTTCGTACACTCATACCTGAAATACGTGATAAATGATGACCTTCCCAGGATACAGGTAGTAAAGGTGGAAGGGGCAAACATTTAGCACCTAGAGAGACCAGGGGGATAGAATGGGCTTCTTACAAGGAATAATCAGGCTGGAAAAAGGCTGAGAAGGGGATGTAGTGCTTTTCCACTGTACATTGTTAGATTCAGAGGATGTGTGTTCAAACTTGAAGGTAGTTTTCAAACAAATAAAAGAAGTACTACTTTACAGACCCACTAGGGGCTCTCTGAAGACCCCATTGGCCTAGGCGCAAGCTGATCACTGGGGAGGAAGCCTTGGCTACCCCGCCCCTCTTTGAGCTTGTTTTCTGCATCTGCAAAATGGGAGTAATATCTAGTGTTTCTTAGAGCTATAAAGAGTAAATAATTGTGTTATGTGGGTAAGATATTTCTTTTTCCCTTATTATTCATTTTTGTCTTATATTTAAAGGATTTTTGTTCCTGCTCAGAATCCTTTTACAGCAAAAAAAAAAAAAAAAATCCTCTAAAACATAGACTAGATTTTCACATAATACATTTTCCTAGTCACCCTGGATCTCATTTAACACTGTCTTTGGGAATTCCCTGGCAGTCCAGTCACTGCCAAGTGCCTGGGTTTGGTTGGGGAACTAAAACTCCATTAGTTCAGTTCAGTTCAGTTCAGTCGCTCAGTCGTGTCCAACTCTTTGCGACCCCGTGGACTGCAGTATGCCAGGCTTCCCTGTCCATCACCAACTCCCAGAGCTTACTCAAACTCATGTCCATTGAGCCGGTGATGCCATCCAACCATCTCATCATCTGTCATCCCCTTCTCCTCCCACCTTCAATCTTTCCCAGCATCAGGGTCTTTGCAAATGAGTCAGTCCTTCACATCAGGTGGTCAAAGTATTGGAGTTTCAGCTTCAGCATCAGTCCTTCCAACGAATATTCAGGACTGATTTCCTTTAGGATGGACTGGTTAGATCTCTTTGCTGTCCAAGGGACTCTCAAGAGTCTTCTTAAAATCCCATAAGCTTCACCAAACCAAAAACAAAAGAAACAAGGCTATCACACTGTCTTTGGGAATGTTTCATTAAATGCTAACATTTTTCTGATAAACTCATTTAGAAGGCATGTAAAATTTAGGGTGCAACCATATATAGGAGGTTGAAAGTGAAAAGTGAAAGTGTTAGTCACTCAATCGTGTCCAACTCTTTTTTCGACCCCCTGGACTGTAGCCCACCAGGTTCCGCTGTCCATGGAATTCTCCAGGTGAGAACACTGGAATGGGTTGCCATTTCCTTCTCCAGGGGATCTTCTTGACCCAGGGATCAAACCCCAGTCTTCTACACTGCAGGCAGACTGTTTACTGTCTGAGTCACCAGGGGAGGCCAGGGTTGAGTACATGCTCTACCAAATACTAGGCGAGAATAATTTTAGTACCCTCCAGAAAGGTTCAGAAAAATTCATGGATTCCTTGTGCTAACCTGTGGTTATGAATTGAGAGATAAGCAAGGTGTATCCTCCTGGCCTTCTAAGGGTCAAGTCAAGGATGGTAAGGTCCACTCTTTCCCATATAAGACACATGCCTGTGTCCCAGTGGCAAAAACTCTTGGTCTGGAACATTCTTAACAGCTGTCCCTTGACAAACTAATGAGGCACATCACAAGTAACTTGTTACTGATTAACATTAAATTTGTTTTATTTATTTAAATTTGTAAATATCTTTCTTTTGTGTAAATCAGAAGAGTTTTGAGTTCCCCATAAGAGTACTCTCACTTATGTTTCTGAGAAACTTTCTGGCGCAAGAGTAAGAACTTTTAGACTGTAAGCAGACAATGGACATGCTCATGAGGACACTGGGTATGCTCATCGGGGAATGGAGCACGTGGACATTATTCACTTGCATCACAGACGACATGACGCTTAGCAGTAACAGCTGGAAAAGTGATTTGACAGGGTACATTTCTTATAACTGATGGAAGAAAGAATTAGCACTTGACCCTGAATTTAGTTGTCAACTAGTATCAGGGTGCTTGCTCTGAGCTAGTTAGATTTCACAGGGATTTCTGGTACAAGAAAGCTTTGCTGAACATATTCGTTCCAGCCAGGCTTAGTACAAGGTGTGAAGAAGGGAAAAAAAGACTTCATACAGAAGCTACTTCACAGCTCTTAGATCAGTTGACACTTGAGAACATTGGCTTTTAGATTCGGTTTTGCCACTAAATACAGAACTTGAGGACCTGTGGATTCTGTGGGCCTCAGTTTCTTTATCTGTAAAATCAGTTACTTCATCTGCAGAAGTGAACCTAGAAGATGACCTTGGGGATATCGATGACCTCCAAGGGCCCTTAGATTCTAAAGTGCTTAGTTTAAAAAGTCTTTTAAATGGGGCCTTTCCTGGTGGTCCAGTGGCTAAGACTCTGCGATCCCAATGCTAGGTACCCAGTTTCAATCCCTGGCCAGGGAACTAGATCCCACATGCTGCAAGGAAAAGTTCCCACAACTAAGACCCTGCACAGCCAAATAAATAAATAATTTTTTAAAAGTCTTTGAAATGTAATAAACCTTAGTAACAGGTATTTCTCCCAGGGACAGATGTTCCATTCCAAACCCTGAGACAGCCACACTTCAGGATCAGGGTGTTTTAGAAGCTCCTCAAAGAAGTATCCTTTACATTTTCATCCTGTGTCCCAGGCCAGAATCTCTACACACAGAAAGTGTGTGTAGTCCACACCGTAGTGTACTTATAGTCCAATTGGCCATAGCTAGGGATGGAGATGACATGTTGCTATTGGCATGGAATCTGAAAGCAAGATCTTTTCTTCAAAACCATTCCTTACCTCATCTCTCCCTATCTGACAAAGCCCTTACTTGTCAGCTGAGATGACCACATCCATTTGCTGTTTCCTGTCGGCTCTTGCTGACCCCTCCCTCTGGAAGGGTACAGAGGGTAAAATAATCCATTTCCTTCAGGACTGCGCTCTATCTTATGTTTCATCAGTATGAATACACTGATTTCTAGAATCCTATGCTACCATGAATGCGTGCATGCATGCTGAGTCCCTTCAGTCGTGTCCAACTCTGCGACCCCATGGACTGTGGCCCACCGGGCTCCTCTGTCCATGGGATTCTCCAGGCAAGAAGACTGGAGTGGGCTGCCATTCCCTTCTCCAGGCGATCTTCCCGACCCAGGGGTTGAACCCGCGTCTCCTGCAGCTCCTGCAGTGTAGGTGGATTATTTACCGCTGAACCACCAGGGAAGTTCTGTGCTACTCTACACTTACTCGTGTTCCCGAGCTTACGCATAGAGGTCGCTCTTCTCACAATTAGACCCTGAACACATTATATTGAGTAAGCACTGAATAAACGCTTAGTTTGTTTAGTTAGTCCATGAGGAATTTCAGATGACAAAAGAATTATGGTTCAGGCTCCTTCTACCTTCAGTTCAGTTCAGTCGCTCAGTCGTGTCCAACTCTTTTCAACCCCATGAACTGCAGCACGCCAGGCCTCCCTGTCCATCACCAACTCCCGAAGTCCACCCAAGCCCAGGTCCATGGAGTCGGTGATGCCATCCAGCCACCTCATCCTCTGTCGCCCCCTTCTCCTCCTGCCCTTCTGCCTTAGCACTATACAATTCCCAAAGCTTTTCCTTTCCTTCCTTTTTTTCTTCCTGTCTGAAATCTCCCACTTTCAAGCCTAATGTAAGGGCCAATTCTGGGCATGAAAGACAATACAGTTCATACTTTTGGTTTCATATTTTTTCAGTTCATTTCAGTAAAAACATAATATAAAAGGCATTGCCACCCTCTTCCCCTCCTGGGGGTGATCCATCAAGCTTGTCAGTCTGAGCCGCTCCAGTGGTTCATAGCTCATCATGGGATATGTGCAGGGCATGGTCACATAGATCTGCAAATAGCACAGGACAGTTTCAAAGAAAACGCCACTCACGCTGATATACGCCACTATCAAGGACATACCCCCAAACAAATCAACATACACCAACCACCATTTTTCAGATCAAATGCTTTTTTTTTTTTTTGCCATATCTTGAGGCATGTGGGGTCTTAATTCCTGACCAGGGATCCAGCCCATGCCCCCAGCAGTGGAAGTGCAAATCCTAACCACTGGACCACCAGGAAATCCCCCTACCCCCCAGCATAGACCTTAAAATGACAAAACTTTCCCATCATCCTCTCACCCGTATGGATCTCAGGTGAGGGAGCCCCAAATTCTGGAAGCTGACAGGAAGAGAATGGAGAGGATGAACCCAAGTCCCCAAGCCATAAGTGAGCTCTTAAGCTAACTTCATGGATTAGGCTGCAGGAGGAGGTGTGAGGGGGGCACCGGAGGACAGGGCATGGGACAGACAACAGAGAATGTGCCAGGTCCCAGAGATGTGAGGACAGGAGGAAAAGCGACAGAAGCTTACCTGTCCGCTTACTACAAAGTTTGTCTTTAACATTGTCAGCCTCTCGGGAAAAGAATTCAATGAGTTCATCCTCGTACTCCTCCACGATGCTCTCACACTGTCAACCCAAGGGAGAAAGCAGTGAGAGAAGCCAGCAAAGGGACACCTCTAGTCTCCACCTCCAGAGAGGAGGACAAGGATGTGAACCCAACTTTCCACTTGGGCTCTCCAATAACCCCCCTAATTTTCAAGAACCAGCTACCCATTCCCATAGCTCACCGCGAACTTGAGGGTGCCACTGATGTCTGAATCAATTCGAATGCCCTGTAGGTCCAGTTCACTGGATTCTCCATTCCGGCCCACGACACGTACATAGTTCTTGCGGTGCGTGGAAGGGTCGATCTGTTCCCCATACTCCTTCATCCGGTCGCATACCTCCTCTAGCAGCTCTGTGAGGTGGGCCTCTGAGCGAGCATAAGGCACCTAGAAATGTCCTCAGCCTTGGGTCATATTCTTCTACCTCTATACATTAATAAGTTATACCCTTACTTTTCCTTCCAAATCTAGCTTGATTAACCTATTCTAACAAGCCTTCTCCAATTTAAAACCATTATGATTTGTGTAATTACGAAGCCCTAGTGGCTCAGCAGTAAAGAATCTGCCTGCCAATGCAGGAGACCTGGGTTTGATCCCTGGGTTGGGAAGATTCCCTGGAGAAGGAAATGGCACCCCACTCCAGTATTCTAGCCTGGGAAATCCCATGGACGGAGGAGCCTGGTGGGCTACAGTCCACGGGGTCGCAAAGAGTCAGATACAACTTAGCAACTGAACAACAACAAAGTCCATTCAAATATGTGACCTTATCTCACCTCATTATACCAGCCTAAGAAATAAAACAGGTGTCTTTCCAAATTATAGATAAATGTCCTCTTTGATTAACCCTGGTCACTATGTGTTCTCTTCCTTTGAATTTCTTTAATTCTTATGGCTGTAAGGTAAATTTTTTTGGTATTAAAATGAGGCTAATACCTGCCCTTAAAAGGAGAGCATCAGACAGATGCATGCATGCTAAGTTGCTTCAGTCAGATAGTGTAGGCTTTGAAGATAACTATTAAAGCATTTCACAAGCATCATAACATTTCCCAAATACTCACTAGGTACAGCTTTCTGTCTGCATGTATTATGTTTTCTACTAAAACAAATTTCCTAAATATATAGATAAGACCTATATATATTTGTTTTTTTGAATGAATGTATGTATACCATACTGTCATAGTGAAAACACAAGTCACATGGATTAAGGATATGGAAAGGGGGGCTGATCAAGGTTCTCTGTCTACTAACAACTTCTACAAAGTATCAGGATTTCTGCTGTATTAGGGAGCCAGGGAAGCAAATGTATGGCGTACAAGACTCCAGCCTCTCCCAAGTGCAACAGCCCAATCCTTTAGATACCTCATTAGTTGAGTTCTCATTCAAAGTTAGAGTGACCTGTTTGGGGGAACAGTCAAATTACCTCCACCACTGACTGGCTGCCATCTGGATTGATTCGGAAAGAGCCCATCTGAATGGTCTTCTTGGGATCCACCTGGGAAATTTCCCACTCAAGTTCATCCACCAGAGCCCTGCAAGCTGATGCAAGTGGGGAGGGGGAGAAAGGAATCAACCTATGGGCTTCCACTCATCCTTCTCCCAGGCCTTGGATCCCATCCTCTCCACGACTCTTATCTTCCCCATCCCACCCTGCTTCCTCCCATGTCTTCTGTTCCTTCACCTCCACAGTGTAGATCCTGGCTCCTCCGGGCCCAGGCAGTTCCCAACAGGGCCCCCAGAAGCAGGGCCAGCCAACCCCAGCCTTTCATCTTTGACGCGATGGGGTTGCTCCACCTGCGTTTAAAGCATAGGTGTGGGAAGCAGACTCCATTCCCCCGCCCGCCCGGCCCGCCAGCACCGCCCCTCCCCAGCCCTCATCCCAAGCCTACAAAGGCCTCAGTGTGATCTGGCTCTGCTGTCCAGGAAATGGCCTGGACACAAAGGGGCTCCTCTGTTCCGGCGCTGGATGTCCCGGAGGCCCGGGGGCAGCGGGCGAGAGGGCGAGCTTGGGACTTGGGTCTTAGTCCCGGATACTACGTCGACAGGTGAGCCCTCGGATGTTGGTGCTTAAGCGGTGGCTGCCTAGGATCACAGGGCTATGTGGCAGCCATGGGTTGGTGGCTGGGATTAAGCAAGGACGACAGGCTTGGAGCTGCTGCTGGCAAGGAGAGTAGCTGATTGGGGCTAAGAGGTAGCGAGGGGGCTGGCTGGCGAGAAGAGCGCTCAATAACCAGGGCCTATTTGGACCCAGCACCGAAGACTGCTGCATCCCCACCTCCAGCCTATAAGCTATTCCTCCGTGCGGACCGGCCCCCTTTGTAAAGACCCCACCACTGCCTTCGCTCCCGCCCATCCCCGGCCCTCAGTGCCGCTCGGACCCATCCCACCTCTGCTCCCAGGGCCGCCGCCGTGGCCCAGGCACTGGAAGACAGCCGAAGTCTCACTTCAGCTCCCGACCCTAGCACCTGGCTGCGGGGGAGCGGGGCTGTCCAGGCGTCCCAGAGCGCTCCTGCGCGCTCCAGACACGGGGTGCCCGGGTGACTGCCTGAGCTAGCTCCTCGAGTCCGAAGTGGATTCCTAAGCAGGGCTCGGGGCGCTGCAGTGCGCGTCCCACACCGGAGACCGACCCCAAACCCGCCCCTCCAAACTCTCGCGCGAACAGGCAGCTTAGGAGCGGCTCCCAGGCAGCAAGGACCCCGGGGGATGGCAGGACCCAGACTTGCGTGGCGAGGAGCTCCACGTGACCATCGGGGTCAGCCGAAGAATAGGAGTGGCTTGAAGCAGGGTCAGAGCCTGACGTCGTGCGCGGAGGCGGTCAGGCTCACACACGCCAATCTAGGTGGGCTCGGACCCTCTAAAAGAAAGGTATGCGGCCAGCCAGTGAGAAGCCCTGGTTTTAATACCCGGAAAACTACATCTCCCAGGAAGCACCACATCACCGCGCTGGTGCTTTGTTAGTAGCTACAGGTTTTAAGGTTCCTGGGACCTGTAGTTTGTCAGGTTCTCCGACTCACATTTTACAAAAACCGGGGAAACCATACTGTACCTCTTACAAGAATCCAACCCTAGGGTTCTAGGCAGCCACACCAGAGGCCTAACTGCCCAGGAATGACATACTTCTCCAATATCCTGAATTTTGGACTTGAGAATTTTATCTTCATTTCTGGGTGAGAATTTGACTTAGTTTTTTCCAGTTGTGATATTGGGTTTCCAAAAGAGTTCCTTTGGCTTTTTTCATGTAAGATGTCTGTAGTGGTGTAGTTGTCTTTCAACTTCATTCGAAGCGATTTTGTTAGATTGTAGTGTGACAGTTGTCATATCAGCATGCACTAAAAATACTTAGAAAATTGGTTAATTATTGTGTAGCCATTTTACTATTTAAGATGAAAGAAAAAAGCAACATTTTTGGCATATTGCTTTATTATTTCAAGAAAGAGAAAAATGCAACTGAAAGGCAAAAAGATTTGTGTTGTGTGTGGAGAAGGCGCTGTGATTGATGAAATGTGTCAAAAGTGGTTTGCAGAGATCTCGGCTGGAGATTTCTTGCTGGAGGATGCTCCACGGTTGGGTAGGCAAGTTGAGGTTGATAGCCATCAATCAAGACATTGAGAACAATCAGTGTAAACTGTGAGGGAAGACAGCTGACATGCTCAAAATATCCAAATCAGTGGAGATTTTTTAAAAGAATCCAAATCAGATGTTGAAAATAATTTGCAGCAGCTTGGTTATGTTTTGTTGTTTGGGTTCCACGTGTGTTAAGTGAAAAAAAAAAAAAAAAAACCCAAACACCACCTTCTTGGCTGTATTTCCACATGCGACTCTCTACTAGCCCTAACGAAAACGTTCCCTATTCTTTTTTTAAATTATTTTGGTCACACTTGGAGGCATGCAGAACTTCCCTGGCCAGGGATCAAAACTGCGCCCCTTACAGTGGAAGCGCAGTCTTACCCACTGGACCACCAGGGAAGTTCCAAAACACTGTTTTTAAAACAAAGTGTGATGAGCAATGAAAAGTGAATACTGTACAATAACAGGACACAAAAAGGATCATAGCACAGGCAAAATGAATCACCACCAACTACGCCAGAGGCTGGTCCTCACACAAAGAAGGTGAAGTTGTGTGGGATGGGGAGTCCTCTATTATGAGCTCCTTCCAGAAAACCAAATATTAATTCAAACAAGTACTGTTCCCAGTTAGATCAACTGGCAGCAGCTCTCAATGAGAAGTGTCCCAAATTAACAGAAATACACAATCTTCCATTGGGATAATGTAAGACTTTGATGACCAGGCAAAAACTGTTCCAGCTTGGCTGGGAAGTTCCAACGCAGCTGTTGTATTCACCGGACCATTGCACCTTTATATTTCCATTCATTTTGGTCTTTACAAAATTCACTTAGTGAAAAAAATTTCAATCCTCTGGAGACTGACGAGGCACCAGGAACAGTTCTTTGCTCAAAAAGATGGAAAGTTTTGGGAAAATGGAATTATGAAGTTGCTTGGAAAATGGCAGAAGGTAGTGAAACAAAATGGTGGATACACTGTTCAACCAAGTTCTTGGTGAAAATGAAAAATGTGTCCTTTATTTTTACTCAAAAGCTGAAGGAATTTCTTGGCCAACCCAATAAAAAGCCAACACAGAGGAGAGGAGGCTGAAGTCAGAGAACCCCATGTGCAGGTATTTCTAATGAGATAGATGACAGTCAATAATATTTTTGTTTTTATTTTACAAAACATGCAGTTTAAAACAGACTTTTAAAAAAATAGCAAGAAAACAAAACTTGGGACAGGAGAGTGGATGGAAGACAGATGCTTCTCAGCTGTCAGCAGGAGTGAAGCCAGCAGCCAAGCTTTGTCTAGGACCCAAAGGCCCTTTTGGCAATGATGATGTTGGCAACACTGGTTTGCTGGGACCACCAGACTCTAAATGCTGGCCCCTCTGGGCAATCCTCAAGCAGCCAGACGTAGGCTAGGTCTTGAGTTACTGTTGTATCCTATCAGTGTCTGGGACTTCAGTAGAAACTGAGCGTTTTGGTTCCAGGAGCTTCTTTACCTGTGTATTAATTACCCCCAGGATAATTATTAAGATCACGAATTACTTTCCATCTGGGTCAATTCTAGGCTGTTTCTGGCCCACTGTTTTGCAAAGGATAAAAAAGGAGTCTGGCTCCTAGACCTTTTGCAACAGTTATGCTGCATTCCAGTTCTGTTAATAGCACCATCTGTAGACCCTGAGCAAGTCCAATCTGGAAGTAGACAGGGTATAGCCAACTTGGGAACTCATCTCCCAGTTCTGGGGCCACAGAACGCTAAAGGGAGAGGGAGCTGAGCTGTTCGCTGGGAGAGCATGAGGTCAGAGTGCCAGCACTGAAGAGAAGACAGCTGCATCTGTCAGAGACAAAACCAAGAGCATTGACTCCTAAGGTGAGTCAGGAGGAAAAACACCTGGGACACCTCTTATGAAGGAAAAATGCAGGAGAAAAGAAGGCACGGACCTCACCCACACTTTTTAGAATTGGAAAAGAGATGGTTAGGACTAATAGAGAGCTTCAATAATAAAACTGGATTTCTGATTTCATTGAATATTGGAAGGAATAAGTGCTTTGTAAATGGTTAAGTGCTTTCTATTACAAACAGAAGGCTGTAGGGTGGTACTGTTTTAACATCACCATTGTTCTTATTTGGAAAAGGAAAGAAATGGCAACCCACTCTAGTATTCTCGCCTGAGAATCCCATGGACAGAGGAGCCTGGTAGGCTACATACAGTCCATGGGGTTGAAAAGAGTCGGACATGACTGAGCGACTTCACTTTCACTTTCATAGTTATTATGGTGGCTATAATCTTCACAACCCACCCAGACCAAAACCCACCCAGACCAGTTTCCCATGTCCCATCCCAGGCCTTACTCTTGGGACTTGTCTGGCCCTCAGGCTCGGGCACCTTCCAGTCCATCTTTCGACCTTTCTCGTAAAGGCCCTTGAGAACTTTGTGGAAGGACTCGGGCTCAGTGCCATTTTTGCTTAGTTCCAGATACTTTCGGTAAAGCTGAAGGGCGGTGCGGGCATCCTCAATACTGTCATGGGTCTCCCCTTGAATCTTCAGGTCTAGGGGAAGCAGAGGTGGAATAGTTTGGGACCCAGCAAAGGAAGGTAAGACCATGTCCTCTACTCACATCCCCTCTCTCAATCAACAACAAAAGATCCCTGACTGCCCTTAAGGGAAAGGGACAAACGTCATCCACAGTGCACAAAAGGGATACTGAAGCCAGTTAAATCCACCTGTAACGCTCGCCAGTAATTCAGGGTTATCCCCAGTCCCTTGGCCTCTCACACATTTTCATGCTCTTGCTGCACACGAGGATGTGCAAGGCAGGGGAACTCACCTAGAAAGTACCAAGCGAGGAATCGCAGGGAAATCATTCGTTTTCGGGGCATGTGAAATAGATAAACAGTGTCAAGGACTTGGTCCTTGGGCACCTGCCAGGGATAAAAGAGCGGGAGACTGAATGCAGGGGATCCATAATTTCCCATTTTCCCAAAACACAATGTATACCCTGGGGGGCCCACACAAAGAAAGACTCTTAAAAGAGCCCTGCCCGAACCATGAGGTTGATGACCCGGAAGTCCTTTTGCAGACCGTGACCCACAAACTTGACTCCAATGTCTATGAGAAAACGAAGCTTTAAGTAGGTAGACTTTAGAGTTGTGAGGTGCTTAGAGGAAATCTTGGCATCAAGGTCTCCCGGCTTTATCCCTGAGTACTGAGTCAAGTAATCCACCACCTAGGGATGCAGAAAAGGTCAAGTCACACAAGAAGCGAAATGCACAATTCCCCCTGCCATTTGCCGCCAGGCTCGAGGGCCTTCTGTAAAAGCGCAGCCCGTCACGTTTGCACACCCGCCCCGGTACCTGCTCCTGGGTGGAGATGTAGTCATCAATGAAGGGGACGCCCTCGTGGGGCCCCTGGCCCCTGACGCAGGTGATCCTCGCCACCGACATCTGGCTTGGCTTGATGGTAGACTTGGTGCCGTCGCTGCGGAGCTCTGCTTCCTCCTGCGTCAGAGTCCACAGGGAAACCAGAGGAGTGCCCGCGACCCCTGACGCCCCCAGAGGTCTGGCCTAACACCCCGCCCTTCTGGCCTCGGTTACCTCGTTGAGGGTGACAAACTCCGCGTCCAGGCCCACCAAGTCCCCAACCTGTGGCATCTCATTCAGCATCAGGGGAATAAAAGTAGTATGTGTTTTCCGCTGCTTCCGTGCTAATGAGGCTTCAGCCAGCAGAACGCTTGCCTCAATAGGATTCTTAACTGGAGGGGAGAATCCAGAAGACATGGCTGGGGAGAGGGAAGGGACCAGGGGAGGGAAACCAGAGTGGCCAACTACAGACTGGGTCTACACCGTGATCCCAATAATTGAAGCCTGTGACTGAAAAGATCATGTCTGATGAACAGAACAGGTCAAATCAGAAAATTATCAAGAAATATGCTAAGAAAAAAAACACACAAAGGAGTGAGATTTTCACTTTGGACTTTACTGTAGAAAATCCAGAATTAAAAAAAAAGAAAAAAGCAAGCCCAGAATAATATAGTTTATTACCACACACACAAAAAAGAAGAGATCCTTACTTGGAGAAAAGCTCAAAATTATAACCTTAGCCATTTTCACATATCCCCCCTCATCACCTCTTCTAACTACGCCCTCAGGATCCCCAGCTTCTAAATTTAAGGCCTGATGAGCAGAATCACTCTACTGTCCCTGGAAATATTAACACTGGTTGCCAATCCTAATAAGCTGTTTTCCAGATCTCTTCCTGAAGATGAATCTCATTGCTCACACCCTTGGATCTATGCTCTACTACTTACTGTTCAGGTTGTATTTGGAATTAAGATTCCTTTTGATGTAATAAAGGATAGCAGGCACTTTCCAATTCATGTCAAACTGCACAGCTTCATGCTACAAAAGAAAAAGCACCTAATAGCCGACATATACGCCTTTCTTCCCCTTTATCCCAAGTCAGAGAGAAGACAGGACTCAGGTGCTATATTTAGCTCTGCTGATGCTTTTTACTGTTGAGGACCCATCCCTCCCTCCTGAGTCTGCCTGGCATCCTCCTGGGTACTGAGGATGAGGATGGCAGGCGAAGGGGAGATGCAGGGGGAAATGGAATGTGTTACAACTAACCTTATCGATAGGTTCAATGAGGAAGTCGTTGAAGAGATACCACTGCTGGTGGGTAACTCCCTGTGGAGACACAGAGGATGCCCAAGTGATGGCTGGAGCATTCCTGCCCAGACTCAAGATAAGGGCGGAACTGGGGCTCCACTGTGGCCGCCACCAGGAATACGCCTGCCCTGGGCTCCGCACTCACCTCCTTGCGCTGGTGGTAGGTCTCCCCAACTTTGATGTGAGCCACCAGGCCGCCCCCTGCGCGTGAGTCCAGGATGTGCGCCACAGTTGCCATCAGGTCGTACACACAGACACCATGCGCCTCCTCTGCCCTGGCTGGGCCCCACTGTGAGCGGCACCCAGGCTGCTAAGCTGAGGGCGAGGGCGGGGGAGGGAGGGGGTGGGGGCAGAGGGCGGGGGCCTGGGGCATGGGGACAGGGGGCCAGGTGCGAGGGCGGGGGAGGGAGGGGGTGGGGGCAGAGGGCGGGGGCCTGGGGCATGGGGACAGGGGGCCAGGCTGGGTGCTTTCCATCCTGGCCCAACTGTGCCTCACGGCACTGAACTGAGTCACTCTCGAGAAGCCCGGAGCTGGTGAATACGAGGCCTCACTCGCTTTTTCCCCTGCACTGAGTTCCACCTGTCCCCTGTCCTGCTTCTGCCCCATCTCTCCCTTCTGTATTTCGGTCGTGCCGCAAGGCTTACGGGATTTTAGTTCCCTGACTAGGGAACTGGACCCAGGGCCCCGGCAGTGAGTGCCGAGTCTTAACCACTGGACCACCAGGGAATTTCCCAACCTTCTTTCCCTTATTCCCCCTCCTCTTCCCAGTTTTTCAACAACCTGCATCTCATCCCCATCAGTCCAATTGCAAACATCCAGCCCTTTGTTCTTGGTCATCTTCATTTGAATGGAGAAAGGAAGCCAGACATTCTTCAACTCCTCAATGGAGGGACACATCAGCATGCCCTCTGGACTGCCTAGTTCCTTCCTATCAGGACAGGAGAATTGGAAATTTGTTCTGAGGAGATCTGACCAGTGACAAGAGGGGACACTGGGTAGCTCAATCCTTTGACCACTCTACAGACAATACCTACCAATCAGCCAAAGCAAACTCCTTATTCTTGGAGATTTCTCCACTATGCTTCTTTATTGCCATCTTGAAGGCAACCTGCATACAAGGAGAAAACATCCAGTTCCTCGGAGAACATGAATCATATATGGAGGTTAAAACTAAAAAGTGCTCCTAGAGCCCTATTTCCAACCTAAGTCCTGACCTCAGCCTGCATCCTCCAGAAGTCAGCTTCTTTCAAACTGTTCACCTCACAGTTGATGACAAGAATATCTGGCAGGTGGCGGATGTTGCGGGTCTGGATCTGAGAGGATGAAACAATAGGAATGGTAGGCGGCCCACAGGGGAAGAAACCTGGACGGGAACTTTTAAGCTTGGGGCTGCTTCCTCCAGCTGGAGTTCTTCCCACCCACCCGTCTAGAGATCTCTGGACGGTGGTGCTGACCTCATCCGTCCCGGGTGAGACCACAGCCCAGCCTCCCACGTGGCAGGACTCTGGCCCAGGGCAAGCGCCCACTCACCGTGGGCTGGTACTTTTCACAGTTGTCACACCAGGCCTGCGTATTCTGCTCCAGGCAGATGCTTCGCTTTAGCACCTGAGCAAAGTCACAGTTCTTCCCGGTTTTATCTGAGGGCAAACTGGATGCTTCACTCCAGGCCCTCCCTGCCCCACCGTGAGCCCCCCACACCCTGCCCCTTGATGTCTCAGGACACCGGGTGGAGCACCCCCACCCCGCTGCAGGGTGTACCGCTGCTGCTACCCTCAGGGTAAGAGAGCGTGAAGAGCAGGGTGGATGAGGCGCGCACGGTCTCACTGCCGCAGCGGCAGAGGCTGCAGTTTTCCATCTCACAGCTGAACAGCTGCCCAATGACAGAGTCCCCCGATGAGCAAAAGCTGCTAAGAGTGGACAGGGCAAGACATGCACACTGAGGGAGTCAGGACACCCCTCAAGTCGCCGGGGGGCCTGTCGTGGTGGCTTTAACTGTTCCATACCTGCCTCCAGCGCCGCGGTAAGCCTGGGGTACTTCCAGCTCTTGCAAATCTTGATGAAGTTGCGTGAGGATGAAGCGGTTCCACCTCTGAATGAGCCTGGCCAGGCTGCCCTTGCCTGAAGCCTCATCTGAGTCAGCCAAAATCAAACCGAGGGCTGAGGCCTCAGGAATGGTGCGGAATGCTCGAAGAAAATTACTGCCCTGGAATCCAGGAAGTGTGTCGGTTTTGAAAAAGGGTTATTTCCCCTTCTGTGATTACTGGCAAGAGTGAGGACCCTGCCTGCTATCCCCCTCCTCTCCCCTTTTATTGCCCCAGGCCTCCAGGCACTGACCTGACAGGGGTCGCCTCGGGAGAGGTCCAACATGTGGAAGAGGAAGCCCAGCTCGCAGGCCAGGCAGAACTCCTTCTGGCAAAGGTGGTTCTGGATTAGACAGCGCACAGGTTCCAGGAAATAGAGCACCTGGAGGGAAGAGCAGGAGATCTGATGCAGACAACTGGTACACGGAGAAGGAGCGATGGGGAGGCGGAAAGACGGTGGAGAACATAAAGCACAAGCCCGCTGAAGAAGCGGCGCTGGCTGGGGAGACGTGAAGGCTGTGGGGCAAGAGAGAACGGCAGAGGAGACTCAAGTGGACTTGGCCATGTGGTGAGGGAGACCTGGAAAAAGAGGGGTCGAGGGGCCCAGAGAGGAGAAGAAAAGCAGCAGCCATCTTCCAGTCATGGGAATACCCAGCCTTACCTGGATCATGCAGTTACAGTAGGCATTGGGGATGTGGGGCTCCAATCCAGCAAACAGAGTCTTATTGTAGTGCTTGAAGTCGAAGTCCTCCAGCCCGAGCTTGGAGTATTTGATGGTCACCTGAGGCAGAAATAGTCTGAGCAAGATGATGTCCTCAGAGCCTCCTAAATCTTTGCAGTGACCATAACCTTCCCCCAGGCCCTTCCCAAGTCCAGAATGATAGGTAGAGGCTTCTTGAAGAAGCCCTCCAGTCCTTTCTGCAATGACCCCCTTTCCCAGGAACCTGTCCCCACATCCCAGAGGGCCCCCTCCTCGGTATCCCCCGGCACCTTGCGGTACTTCTTAGAGACCATGTGGAGATGTGGCTCCTCTTCCCGCCCTACTGGTGACTCAGTAACCTGGCTGAAGCTGTCAAATTCACTGTCAGACTCCTTGAGTCGGTAAGGAATCTAGGGTTTTTAAAAAGAGATAGCCCTTGTTGGATGGATAATGATCTTTGGTCCCACCTACCTTTTATTCCAACACTGAAGCAATCACCAAGTCCCGAACCCAATAATTTCATGGTTTTCAGCCTACACCGCTGCCTTTTCATTCCCACTGCCATCACCCCACCTCATCACAGCTGTGCAATGCCGAGGCTGCCACAGTGGGTCCCGCACCCCCACCCACTCCATCCAGCGCACCGCCCCTGAGCTAAGCCCCCAGTACGGCCTTTTTGGTGCGTCACTTCCGCTGTACCCTGGTACGCACAAGGTTTCCCAACGAGGCCCCTTCCAAACTTCATTTCACATTGATTCCCAATACTAACAGCCGGTCCAACATGGTCCCTGTCAGTTAGGCCTCCTGAGACCTCTACTAACACTGTTCTCTCATCCTGAAAGGCTCCCGTTACGATCTACTTACCCATCTTTCATCCTTCCAGCTCAACACCCACCGTGTGGAGTATGCCCTTCCTGACCAGTCTAGCCCAGAGTACCCTTTTCTCTCTAAACAGCTCTGGCACTGACTGCTCCTGACGTTCCTTTAGCATTTAACGATAGAACATAAATAATTTCTGCCAGTGGATAGGTCTTATCTCCAACAACCAAATACTAAACTTCTAAAGAGCAAGGATCCTATCTCCTATGTATTCAAACCCTAACACCTAGTATAATACCTTCAATTCAGTAGGCTTCAAAAACCTTTGTTGACTAACTAAAAACAAAAACTAGGGAGAATTACTAAAGACAAAGGAGAAACACCAATGGGCTGGGGCTGGGGGCACCCTCTCCCCTCTGAACAAACCTGATTTCGCAGCCTGGTGCGGGGATTGGGTGCATAGCCGATGAAGCCCACCTTCTTCATGGTGCGCAGAATCTCTGCATCCACAGGGGGTGCTCGCCTACAATGTAGTATAGCTCTAGGGCTTGAAGGCTGCGGTGTCTGCCCATCCAATCCCCAATCCCCAAGGGACCAGAAAAAAAAGAAAATACTAAGAGTAGACAAAAATCAGGAAAGCAGCAGAATACTAACAGGGCTTGCCGAGAACTCTGGTCTCTTGGCCCTCCCCCTCTCCCCCACCCCTTGGCCCGGATGTGAGGTTCCACCTGGGAGCCGGAGCAGAGTTGGCAGCAGGCCAGTCAGACAGCAGCGTGTCGGTGGTGAGCGGGACGGGGATGAGGGAGAGGGGCAGCAGGTCCTGGCTCCAGTCCAGAGGCGGCAGTGAGTCCACGACGCAGGGCAGAGCAAACTCAGTCTCACGGGAGTAGGGGTTGAAGGAAGGCTCAGGGGAGTCAGTCCAGAGGTGCACACAGCCCTCGGAATCCCCGAAAGCGAGGGCCTGCTTGCTGGCTGACACATCAAACGTCATGAGCAGAGGCCCCACAGGATTCACGTGGAAGATGTCTGCGGGGTTGGCCAGGCCTGTGGGCTCACAAAACTGGCACTGTCCTAGGAGGGAGGAGAAGGCCGCTGAGCCCTGGGAGGTGACAGGCAGCTATCCTGTTACGCCCTTCCTAGCCTCTTCCCCTGGTGTCAAGGAAAGACGGGCCCCAAATCCATGCCTAGAGGTAAGAGGAAATACCATCTGGGGCCCCCCATAAATCACAAGGGGGTTTGCTACCCGCCAGAGGCCAGTTCCCGAGCTGTCCGCGTGCGCTACTTGTATTCTTTGCATATGTGTTCTTCACATCCAGGGAGAAAATAAAAGCTCCGGTCTCTTACCAAACCTAAGTGAGATCCTGAGGCCCCTTAGAATCGTTGCTTCTTCCGCAGCAAAGAGACTTCAGGGAGTGCACTCCTTGCTCCTAGACCCCCCTTTCACTCATCAGCCCTCATCCCGCCCTGTGTCCCCTTCATACCTGACTGGGAGATGATAGCGAGACGAGAAGTGTAGGTAGGGATGAAGCGTAAGAAGGCAGGATCCACGTGAACCTGAAGTGGTGTGATGGCACGCATCATGCGAAGATCATAAACTTTGAGGAAACGGTCACAGGCCAGACCGGTGAGGCGGCTGGAGAAGCCACAGGTGGCCAGCAGGTTGCCGTGCACATCGAAATCCGACAGGCTCCCTGAGAAGGCATCGAACTCATGCTCCACCTTAAAAGTACGGAGATCTCGCAGAGAAACCTGAAGAAAGGACATCTTCGTTATCTGCCAACACTGTTGTCAGGAATAGGACCCACCATCTACCTCACCCTGTGAGGTCCCTGCCGAAACAACTAAGGCTCTACAATGTGTGTGTGCCAAGTCGCTGCAGTCATGCCTGACTCTTTGCCACCCCGGGGACAGCAGCCTGCCAGGCTCCTCTGTCCACGGGGTTCTCCAGGAAAGAAGACTGGAGTGGGCTGCCATGCCCTCCTCCAGGGGATCTTCCTGACCCAGGGACTGAACCCACGTCTCATGTCTCCTGCACTGACAGGCAGGTTCTATACCACCAGCGCCACAATACAGGCAATTAAAGCACCAAAAAAAAAACAAAAAGAGAAGCCAAGAGCTGGAAGGGACCCCAAAGAAAACTCCTTTACCCCTTTGCCTCTAAGATACCCCATTCACCCCAGAAAGTATCAGGCTCAAAGATAATCTCATAGCATAACATGGCTGAGTAGGAACTCAATTCACTCCTCCCAGCTCCCCAACTACAGCCCCAGAACTGAGTAAAAGACGGAGCCCGATCACCTATCTGGTGAGACAGAGCCCCGAGGTGGGAGGAAGATGGAACTTGGTCGCTCACCTTGCCAGACGTGTGGCCGCAGAAGAAGAAGCGGCTCGTCTGTCTCATGATGGTGACTCCAGGTGTCTCAACTGCGTACTGTGAGGGAAGCGGGAGAAACCCGTGAGGATGCTTCTTCCCACAGACCAAAGGAACAGAAAGGTCACGCGCGCATCACAGGCACTTCCGGCTCATGCTGCCCCCAGTGACCTCAGGCCCTGCCTGCGTCCCGCCTGCACCTTCTGGGTCTCCTGGGCAGTGTTGAGGTCAATCTCCAGCACGTGGTTCTGCAGCCCCCCAACGAGCAGCGTGCTGCTCTCGGTCAGCAGCAGGCTGTGCATGTCCTCACTCTCATCCAGCCTGTGGGGGAGGCAAAGCTCAGGGCCAGGGTGTCCCACGTTTCCGACCCTTCACCCTTCCCACTCTGAGAGGGATCCCCTTCCCCAGTCCAGAAGTAGGAAGCCACCTACAGGTAATCAAATATAATGAGGCCCCCTCGGGCCATATACTTGAGGTTGTTCTTGGTGAGAAAAAGGATGCCGTTCTCCAGGCTCTGGATCTGGCGGATCTCATCACTGCCATTGACCTGAAATGATGAGTACCGCTCCAAAGTCGGGCCGAAAAATGACGTGGCATGGCCCTGTAGTGGACAAAAAGATGAGAGATACCCTAAGTGGAGGGGCAAGGCCATCCCAGACACAAATCAGAGAACTAGACATTGCTCAGTTTCTCCTCCATTCTTGCCTGGCCTTTCTGGCTAGCAGTGACTAAGGCATAAGGGTGAGCACCAATCTTCTATGATATGATATGATATAGTACCTTATATTTATGATAAAAACACTGAGAATACTATCTTACATTCATATAATGCTTAAAGTACCTTTATAAACTCCACCTCATTTTATCCTCACAATGACCCTGCTGAATAGGTAATGGCTCAGTTGATTAGAACAGTGCTCAGAAGGTTAGGGACATAGGTCCAATCCTCCACTGGCCAGGTGGCAGTCTTGTGTCCCACAGTCAAGTCCTCATCTCTACAAGCCATCTGGGAAATGTGTACTGTGGGTCACAGGCTGGAACAGAGAGACTGAAACTCATGCCACCGTTGGCTCCTATGACATCATCCACTCCTGGTTTCTCTCCTGACTCTTAGCTCATATCTTCTCCTTATGTGCAACCCTTATGACCACTATTGAAACATTATTCCAAGCCCACCATGTTCTCACTCTACTTTTCTTCCTAGATAATTTTACCCACTCTTAAGGCTTAAACATTCAGCTTAAACCAGATGAATCCTAATTTTTTCCCCTAGCCCAGACTGCTGCCTCAAGCCTCAGGCTTGTACATCTAAATACCTACCACATGCCTCTCTTTAGCTACTCCATAAGAATGCAAACTCATTACACCCTAAATCAAACTCACCATTTCCCCCCATTTCAATTCTTCTTAACTGTATTCCCTATGGTACCATGATTTACCCAGTGGAATAAGTCACTGGTAGTTGACTTAAATTTCATTTAAGTTCCTAAATACTTCCCAAATCTGTTCTGAGGTATAAATCTCTACAGTGCTTCATTCAGGCCTCCATCACATTTTAGGTGAAGTACTACAAAATCCCGTGCACTGACCTCATGGAGTCCTGTCCCATCCCCCTTAAATCAAACTCCATACTACCACCTCAGCACTCCACCTGAGATACAAACTGGACCTCATCATTCTGGATAAAAACCTTTAGTGGACTAATGAATCAAGTCCAAGCTCTTTTAAAAGAGCTTATAAGGCTTTCTAGAATGTCCTCCCAGAGATAACTGCATGGTTTCTTCCCTTCCTTCCAGGGAGATTAGAATGGACATCCTGGCCTGCATCCAGGTCTCCACTCAAGTGTGACTTTAGCAGAAAGCCCTTCCCTTGACTATATATCTAAAACAGCAATACCTCACACCCTTCAATACCTCAACCCCCTAACTCCACAGTACTTTTCTTAGGGATTCTATTTTTCTTAAGGATATGTCATAAATATGTTTCTGTTGTCTTTTAAAATGCTTATTCAAAATCTAGACTCCAGAACAAGGTATGGCACCTAAAAGGTGCTCAAAAACACTGGCTGAAGAAAAGTCTAACTCTTCAGCTTCATCTTCCATCCCAGTAAACCCTACTTGCTTGCAGTTCCTGCACTGTGCAATCACCAAGCTGTGTACTATCTTGGGAATCATTGTTTATTCCACTGCTTTTGCCAAAATGGAATTTCCCCCTCTTCACCTGGCTCCTGCGCATCTCTCAAGATGAGCTCAGGTATCACTTCCTTCTGGAGATCCTCTAATTCTCTTCTATGCTCACCAACATCCAGTATGTATTTTCACACTGGCATTTATTAAGTTCATATCCCAAATTCATAATTATTAAGTTAAACACTTTAGTTTCTTTTAAAATGCCATAAAATTATGTTCATATACTCGGGTTTTTTTTCCCTCATTGTCCTGTGACCTCCTTGAGGGCAAAGAGTATGTTTTACTAAGCTTTATTCCCTGAGCCTAGTCTAGTAGTAGACACTGCCTACTGAAATGAATGTATTACCAAAAAATTCACTCTTTCCAACAAAAACAATTCACGCCCTATGGAAGGTAAATTAATAAACGATGGACACCATGTTATTTCTCACAAATCTTTGGGCTCCCAAGCATATTGGCAATATGGATACATTTTTAAAAATTAACAATGATAACTGCTCCCAGGGAAATTAAAGTCCGCCAAAGACAAAATGATTGCATGTAATATGTGCAGAAACAGGAGTTAAACATTCTGTAATGAGAGAATCCCCCGCCTGTCCGGTGGTTAGGACTCCATGCTTTCACTGCCCCAGGCCCGGGTCTGACCTCTGGTCAGGGGTACTAAGATCCCACAAAGCGGCTGGCATGGTCAAAAAGAAAACATCCTATAATTATAAAAATGGAAAACAGGAAGAGCATTAGAGACTGTATTCAGATGGCTATAGACTAACTGAATGGCTACAGTTATCAAGATTAATCAGGGCATGGAATGGGCAAATGGTGGAAGAAGTGGGATACCTTCTGAATAAGAACACCTATGTAATCCATCTCTGCATTCTATGACTCCCTCCTCCCTCCCCTCCCCTCCCCTTGGCTTGATTTAGAGACCCAGCTAACTCCATCACCTCAACTCAGTTCTGGCTCCCTGCAAAGCAGCTGTTCTTGGACTAAAACCAGGTAAGAGGCCCCCGATCTCTCCTTTCAGCCCTCACGAAGGGGTACAGTTCTTACCCCATGGCTTCCCACCCACAGCAACTCCTCGTGCAAGTCAAAGTGGGAGCCGGAGACAGGCGCACCCACGTCAGCCACCACACTGTGCAGCTCAGAGTAGACGCCTTCCATTATGCGCACTGACTCCTGGGCTGGGAGCGCCTCGAGGGCCACTCCCTCCGGGTCCAGCTCCACGTTCTGTAGCAGGCTCGGGTTCAGGTGGGCATCCAGGACAGGGTCCAGGGCAGAATGCATGGCCGGCGCATACTCTGCCAGTCCAGGGTCCAGACCCTCGAAGTTCATGATGATGGCGATGACGACGGCAGCAGCAGACTGACCCGTGTCACACACCCTCCCTTGCCACAGCCCCTTTGGATACCCGACCCAACCTTCAGCAGGACATCAGTGGGCCTAGAATGGACATCCTGACCTGCAAAGGGAAAGAGCGAGCTGAGTCACGGGTAGGCCCAGGTGCTCGTATTGAGTGTGTGCTAGGTTTTTACTGGCAGGACGGAGGGGAGGCAGGCAGAAGATTTAAGAATACAAGGCAGGGGGTGAAACAGGCAGGAAGGGAATGGACACCGGGGCAGACGTGGGAAGAGGTGTGGTCCCTGGCTCTTCTCTTCTAAGACACTCTGAACTCCCAGAGTCCCACCAGTTAACTGAATCCCTGACTCGCTCTCCACCCTCCTCAGGGCTGCTCACTGGCCTGGCTCATCCCTGAACCATCAACGTCAGGAGCAGCAACTGCGGGGGCAGGGGTTAGGCAGAGCGGGGCAAAGTGCTTGCTTCCTAGCATTAGGGACAGGGGTAGACGGTTGAAAGGGGAGAACAAGATAAGTCAGTTTCCCAGAATCCTCTGCAATGCTACCCAGGATTCGCTAGGGGAAAGAAAGAATGGCCAGTTACCCACAGTTGGGGCGGGGGGTAAGGGGGACGTGAAGGAAATCACTAGTTACCCAGAATTCTCTGGGGGAGCCAGAAAAATCAATTACCCATAATTCTCCCCCGGCGGCGGGGAGGGGAGGGATTAGGGCAGGGGTCAGATGTGTTCCTGGGATGCTTACGGGGATTAGGTCATTACCAAGATTTCTCCATGGCGGATATTTTGGAGCGCGTGGAATTAAAACGAGTAGGGGGAGAGCAAGCGCCGTCAGCTCCGCGGGAAATTCCAGTTTCCCCACTTCTCGCCCGCGCCTCAGGTTCAACCAAACTCTAGGACGGAAAGGGCGGTGCACTCCCAGTCGCGGCTTCCAATTAGGAAGGGCGAGAGGCTTACCTCAGCCAATCGGGAGCAGCCAGGTACAGCCGGACCCGCGAGAAGACGTGTGACGCGCGCGCTGAGGAAAACAAGACCTACGGGGCGCGGATAGGGACAGACGTGTCGGAACCTTGTCCCTGTTTGGTGGTGGTAGAGTAACCTTTGTCTTATTTAAGCCTTCTTTAAAAGAAATTAGAAAGCCCCAGGCTTGGAGCCCGAACTTTCAAGCTCCGTATAGCTCCAGACTAAAGTAAGGGGAGCCCAAAGCAAAGCAGTGGGAATCGATTGCTGCATATTCCCAGTATGGCCCAGGCCACCCTCTCTCCCCGTGGTACTCTTGTGAGCACTTCGCCACCTCCGACCCTGTTACTCCTGAAACCTGCCGGCATTTCCTATCATTTTCAGGCATGGGAGAGAAAAAAGGGAGCGGGAGGCAGTCTCCTAACACGGCCCAAGTAGCTGCATCTTCTACGATTCTGAAGGCAACCGTCTGAAACTCCCATCTCTGATTATTCCCTCCCCAGAGTCGCCGGTAATATTTCCAGGGAGCAGGACCCCTCAGCTATAAAATCCCCTAGCTCGTGTGGAGCGGGACATTATTCCTCAGGGGGCAAGACACGGCAAATTGAGACGTTTCCCTTCCCCAGAATTAATAGATTTAGTGTCGACACCTACTCAAGGATTCTTGGGGTATAACTCTGAGCTTGAACTGCTTTGGAATAGATCCAGAATGTTAGATGTCTGTAGGGTATTTTAGTTTCTAAAGGCCACATAGAGGGCCACGTTGATGGGATTCCTCATAGAGAAAACAGTTTTAAAGCATCTCAGTGTGGTGGTGGTGGTTTAGTCGCTAAGTCCTGTCCGACTTTCGCGACCTCATTGACTATAGCCCTCCAGGTTTCTCTGTCCATGGGATTCTCCAGGCAAGAATACTGGAGTGGGTTGCCATTTCCTTATCCAGGGGATATTCCCAGGCCAGGAATCGAACCCAGTCTCCTGTATTGCAGGAAGATTCTTTACTGACTGAGCTACAAGGGAAGTCACCATCTAGGGATCTCTGAAGTCAGATCAGTTTGAGAGACCTCTGAGTTAAACGTGTTTTTCTCTTGGTCTATGACCTCTAAGTCTAAAACCCCTCTGATTCAGGATTCTCTGAGTCAGGATTCTAGACTTAGAGGTCATAGACCGAGAGAAAAACACATTTAACTCAGAGGATTTCTCAAACTGATCTGACTTCAGAGGTCCCTAGATCTAAAATCTTGTTAAAAATATGGGTGCTGAGTAATAGGGACAGTTCCTACACTTTGAGAAATTTCCATATTTAGGTCTCAAATTAAGAAAGACTTAACAGGGATTTCCCTGGTGATCCAGTGGCCAAGACTCTGCACTCCCAATGCAGGGGCCTGGGTTTGTTCCCTGGTCAGGGAATCCCAAGATCCCTCATGCCACAACCTAAGAGTTCTCATGCCTCAATGACCAAAGATCCTTGCCATAACTAAGACCCAGTGTAGCCAATTTTTTTTTAAAGACTTAACAGTGAGAATTACAAGGCCTGAGATACCAGCAATATCAGGCTAAAAGAGCTACTTTATTAAGATGCATAGTGTCCTCTCACAGCATCCAATGTAATAGAATGAGAATGCAGAATCTGAAGTCTATGCGGTAATTCTGGCCACTTAATAGTGATTTTAGGTAACTTACTTATCTTCGCACCTCAGTTTCCTCATTTGTACCCATCTCATTGGGCTGTTGTGAAAATTAAATGGGTTAATACATGAAAAGTGCTTAAACCAAGTATTTGGTGTAAAGTGAGAGTTGGATGGAAGCCATCATTACTAACCACCTGGGGAAACTTCAGCTGGATTTGGTGTCCAGGCATCCAACTGGAAAGGCCTGCTTGGGAGTGTCTTGTCAATATAATTTGCATAACGGTTGAGGTCTTGCTGACGTCAAGGTCTCCTTGTAGCTCCAGGTCAGATACAGTCCTGGAAGTAGTTCCTGTCACACAACAGTCCCACAGTCACCCCACCAACCTTGCTTCCTACCCAACTCCCAAAGCACCAGGAAGTGAAACAAAGCCCCGTGCTTCCAACTCATCCTTGTCCCTCTCATCCCATCCCCCAGGGTCCCACTTCCTCCTCCTCCTTTTCACCGTCCATCTCCTGTCCTAAGTGGCTCCCAGAATGGCAACTAGAGGTGGGAAAAGCATGGGAGACATTATACGAAAGCAGGTGCGCCCCCCACCCCACCCCCAGTTGCCTTATTTCACGCACATCCACCTTTCTCAGGAGGCAAACCATTTCTCACTCGAACTGAGATAACATCTCTGAGGCTGGAAATGTTTTATCCCAAGGGTGGATTTACCACAGAGTCACATTTGAATCAGAAATTTCTTTGGGCAGTTTTGAATAGTCCTAAGGGAATGGAGACCTCAGTCGAGAGTAAGTTTCTCAGAGAAAAAGGATCAACCTCTTGGAAAGGCTTTGGGAGCCATCTCTGTGGTCATCCATGGCCTCATTCTGACGTCCAGATTGTCCTGGGACCCTCCACTGGGGTGGGGACAGTCCCAGATTTGGGCCACCTTCCACTCCCACGCCCAAGCTCACAGTCTCAGCTGTTTCACTGAATGTTGCATCAGGGATGGTGATGAAATCAGTATCAGCGGATTTTACCCATGGATGCAACAGGCTGAAGGACCAGCCAGGGTCACTGACACAGTGCACCTTCAACTACCCAGAACCCTGGACTTTCTAGCCACGGTGAAGGGCTTGGTGATAGGATATCTCCAGTTGGATTTCTAGACCTCACTTACACACTGATGTCCCCTACCCCCAAATCACCTGAACCCCACAGAGCCCAAGAAACGGGCCACTAAGGTTGAGGAATCAGATGGTTCTTAGCAACAGCTCTCTCCTCCCAACAGCACCCCCAGCCTCCAGAGTGAGGCCTGAAGTGAGGGAGCAGTAATACCTTATACTGAGCAGATGTGGCTTCCCAGTTCACAAAATGCCTTCATGTCCATTCTCTCCTAGTGAAAATAACACTTCTCAACAGAGAAAAAGAAGCCCTCTTATTCTTGGATTGAGGGCATCAGGTGGGAACCCAGCTTCGTTCCAAACTGAGCTTGCCATCCTATTGGGAGATAAATGAATGCCTCTGTTTTGGTTTTTCCTCAGGCAGGAGGTGAGGAAATTAGGTTTGAAGGGAGGGCTAATATAGCTTAGAGACACAAAAAGATGAGGAGAAGGTTAAACAGGAAGGAAGTTAAGACTAGATTCATTTAAATATTTGCTGTTCCCACCCCTCCCCCTGTCTTCAGCCACTTTGATTCCTGGAGAGCATTACACAGAAGTCTCATCCCAGGCCTCCAGCCACCGCCACCACACGACTCATTTCCCCTGGAACTGAGGCTACTTACCTGGGCTCCCCACGGAGGGGGATGATGCAGGAGGGGAATCCCACCTGCTGTGAGTCACCTGCTAGTTTAAAGGGCGGGTCTCACAATGCGGGGACCTTAAAAAGAGACTCGGAGACAAGGGGAGAAAATCCACAGGAAGCAGCTCAGAAGCACGGTGAGCACAGAACAGACAGAATCGGATTCAGAGCAAGGGGAAGTGGACAGAGGTCCCACAGGACTGCAAGGCACGGGGCCAGACGGGCTGGAGAGGCAGGCAGCGAGATGCTGGGGGACGGAGCCGTGCTGCTGCTGCTGCTGCTGCTGCCCTTGACAGCTCAGGGCCGGGCTGTGTCAGAGGCCGCTGGCCCCACTTGGGCTCGGGGCCAACAGCTCTCACAGCAACTCTGCATGCTAGCCTGGAGCGCACACCTGCCAATGGGACGTATGGTGAGTGGCAGCCCCTCAGCCTATCTGAGCCCTCCAAGGCTATAGTGGAAGATGCTGTGGCCTGGGGTGGAAGCTGGAGGGTTGAAAGCCATCAGTGGTAAGAGAGAACAGTGGTTGAGAGAACCCCTGGAGAAGGATCCAGGGAGAGTAAGGAACCAAAGGTCCAGGTAGGATTTGAGAGTACTTATTTCTCTACTCTTCCCGCCCCTCCCCCATTTCAGGATCTACCAAGAGAAGAAGGAGGTGATGAGACTACAGATGATGTCCCCCGTATCCAGTGTGAGGACGGCTGTGATCCACAAGGACTCAGGGACAACAGTCAGGTACAAAGATGAGGCTGGGCCCCCAGGAAAAGGGGACTGGAGACAGAGCTAGACACCATGGTGAATGAGTAAAGTTGTATCTGTCCTTGTCCATTCAGCCTGCTGTAGCAATAAACCATAGACTCAGTAGTTTATAAACAACAGACATTTATTTCTCACAGCTCCGGAGGCTGAAGTCTGAGGTCAAGGTGCCAGTGTGGTTAAGTGAGGGCCCTCTTCCAGATCAGACTTCTTGTCTCCTCACATTGTGGGAAGGAGTAGGGAGTTCTGTGGGTCTCTTTTATAAGAGCAATAATTCCACTCATGAGGGCTGCATCCTCATGACCTAGTAACTTCCCAAAAGTACCACTTCCTACCACCAGCACACTGGGGGTCAGGATTTCAGCATATGAATTTCACAGGGACGCAAACATTCAGATCACAGCCATGTCTTAAGAATGGTAAATATCAGGTGAGTCTTTGGTGGAGTAATTAGAAGGGATCTGTTTTGTTTCTTTCATCTTGATTTTGGCTGAGCTGTGCTGTGCCCAGCCAGGGATCAAACCCATGGCCCCGGCAGCAGAAGCGTGGCATCTTAACCACTGGACCGCTTGGGAAGTCCCCGTATCCGTTTTCTTTCACGGCTTTCTTTACCCCCCAGTCCTGCTTGCAAAGGATTCATCGAGGCCTGGTTTTTTACGAGAAGCTGCTGGGCTCAGATATTTTCACAGGGGAGCCTTCTCCACTCCCAGAGGGCCCTGTGGACCAGCTTCACGCCTCCGTACTGGGCCTCAGGGAGCTCTTGCAGGTATGAACTAGGGGCCTGGAGGAGAGGGGCTGCAGGTGTCAGAGACGGGGCCTGGGGTAGGGGTGGGGTGACGACTTAGAGAGTCCTCTCTGATGGTGTCCTGTGTCCTTTCAGCCCGAGGGTCACCACTGGGAAACTGAGCAGACGCCAAGCCCTACTCCCAGCCAGCCATGGCAGCGCCTCCTTCTCCGTCTCAAGATCCTTCGAAGCCTCCAGGCCTTTGTGGCTGTAGCTGCCCGGGTCTTTGCCCATGGAGCAGCAACTCTGAGCCCCTAAAGCCAGCAACTCAAGGATGACACCCAGACCTCCATGGCTCAGTAATGCTAAGATCAATCTATCAACCTAGACACCTGTGAGCCAACAAGTTCATCAGTCCAATAATTTTAATGAGACTTATTCTGTTGAAAAATTACCAAAACTGACTGACTTATGATGTTGACCTAGAAGAGGCTAAATATTTATTACATGGGAAGGGAAATTTTGGGATTATTTATAGTGGCAGGAGCTTGAGGATGAGGATTATTTATTATATTTATACTGAATTATGTACTTTTTTCAATAAAGACTTATTTATGTGGATCTCTAAGTCTAGGCTTGTCAGTAAAAAGAAACAGAATGGAAAAACAGGGCCAAAGCACTATAAAATGCATCTTTCTGCTCTGCAGGGCTACCGTGGAAAGGGGTCTTACCTCATGACCCCTTGGTATATAGAGTAACTGGGATCTTTTTGGCCATAATCCCTGCTAAGGCTGAGCAAGCTGAATGAGGTTACAAGGGACTGCAACTGGGAAGTATGGCTCCTAAGCTTGGCCCTCTCTTGCTCCTTGGCCCAGGGCTTCCCTCTCTGCTTTCTTGGCCGAGAATGTATTTGGCCAATGGCAGGAGTCCCCAGGCACTGCGGGATCAGAAGTCAGAGCTGCTTTAAGCAGAAACGGCATTCCAGAAAGATGAGTCAGTCTTGTCAGTCACCAAAGTGTTGAGAGCCTTCTGTGCTGGAAAGAAGCCACTGCCCCGAGCCTCACAGGTGCCTCCCCACTGTGCCGGCCTGCCCTCGAGTGCCCGTGCCTCCCAGCACAAAGGCAGCCTCCAGGCTCCAAGCCGGAGCCATGGGTAACATCTCTTCTGATGCACTGCTGCCTCTGCCTTACCCATGTTATGCTTCTCCCTCACATTCCCCCAGGGTTAACCCAGCTCAGAAGGGGCACATGCCTCATGTCCCATCCTTGCAGAGCAATATCCTGATGTGAGGAGTAGGAGGGGCAAACGCACAGAAAGATCTGAGGAAATGTAGCTCCTAGTAGTCAGAAGGGCTCAAGGGCCCATCTGCATAGAAGTGGCTGGGGTTGAAGACGTCAGCTTCATCCGTGGTGTTCTGGCAAGGCAACAGTGGATCACCGTTGGGCATGATTTCTTCAATCCTCATGCTGTTCCTAAAGACTAGATCGTCCAGAGAAAGAAGTCAGGCCCTGATCTCAGACTAGGAGTTCCCGAACCAGCAGGGAAAGTGAGGGAAGATGGCAGTAGCGGCCCACATAGGGCCTGAGGGGGGCCTTAGGTGGGGTGGAGGAGGCATATGTATGTCCTAATGAAGTGAATCGCAGGGACATTGGCCTTTCTCCAATGAGGAGCTTAGAACACAGGCTTTTTCTGTGGCGAGTGAGGGAGGGGATCTGGGAAAGGCAAGGTGTCCTCTCTTCCCTGCTTGCACACCGTCACTTACTTTCCATGTCCTCGGTGTTCAAGTGTCTCAGGTCATAAGGCAAATCCGGTTCTGGCATGGTCTGTAGATCGAGCTCTGGAATAGGCTCCAGCTGCAGTTCTGGTCCCAGGTGTGGTTCTAGGACTCCCTGTGACATCTGGCCAAGTATGGGCTCCAGTGTGGGCTCCAGCACGGGCTCCATGCTCAGATCCAATCCTGCCTCCAGCAGTGGCTCTAAGTCCAGGCCTGGCCCGTGCTCAGGCTCTGATGCAAGCCCCAGATCCAGCTCTAATGACTCCAGCTCTGGCTCCAACCTGAGCTCTGGCTCCAACCTGAGCTCCGGCAGTTGCTGCAGTTCATCCACCTGTCTGGATACCCAACACAGACGAAAGAACAGGGCTCAGTTGTTTAGGTGAAGTGGGGAATGGCAGAGAAAGCAGAGGCTATCTTTCTAGTCTAAAAAGGCATCAGAGCAGAGGGCTTAAGGCCACAGGCTCTGGGATTAGGCTTCCAGAGTTTAAATCTTATCATTTACTAGTTGGGGGACCTCAGGCAAAGTGACCCAACCTCTCTGAGCCTAAACAACCATAGTTCGGAATACTTGAGAGGCAGTAGGATGGTTCAAATCAGGGCTCTGGAATTTGAGAGACTTGGACTACTGATCAGCCATGTACCCGAGGCATGACACTTCATCACATTAAACCTCAGGTTCCTCAGCTGGAAACAGTAATAACAGTATTTTCTGCCTCACAGGACTGTTATGAAGTCAGTAGATAAGAAAATGAACACAAAGCTTTTAGCCCAGTGCCTGACACATAATGAACTTTCATTAACTGTGGCTATTACCATTTCTGGCTTGGCTGGGTTCTCATAAGGATTAAATGAAAAAAAGAATGTTCTAAAAGAATCTAGTACTATGCTTTGCATCAAGTGGATGTCCATTAATGTTAGTGATGATGATGATTATTATCAGGGAACCCCGATGGAGACAACCTAAGGATGGCAGCAGGAAAAGAGAGAGAGGTTGAAAGGGCAGGAAAAAAGCCCTAGAGGGCTGGGGAGCCTGGGTCGGTAAGAGAGAAGGCCGACGAGACCTGAACTGGGACGGTCTGGGTCACCGTATTAGCCAAGAAGGGTTAAGGAAGGTGGGCAAAGAGTTCATATCTCACCTGTTAGAGACAAAAATGAGCTTGTGTTTCAGGTATTTCTTCCGTTCCTCGGGATTAACTGTGGGGGACAGACGGGAGGCAGAGGCGGTCAGGGGATGGGACACAGCGCCCCAGGGTCCCCCTGTGCAGGTGGTCCTGACTGCTGTGTCTGCCTGCTGACAGGCATCCCACAGACAGACCCCTTCCCTCCTTCGGACGTTGGCTTTCCCACGACGCCACGGAGGAGCTGTGCGAATGGATGCCTGTGGACCCCTGCACTCTGCAAGGGAAGCGCATCAGTGGTTCTCACTTTTCTCCTGGGAGGAGCACCCAAAAGCCTCATCCCGGGGGATCCGCGGGTAGAGGAAGCGCAGCGGGTTCTCGGGTACGTTCTCCGCCGTCAGCATCTGGTACTGGCTGATGATCCTGGTGAGCGGCAGGGACTGCAGCACCTCCTTGGTGAAGGGCTGCACGGAGTTGATGAGCACCTCATCTGGAGAGTGGATGGAGGGACAGGCAGGCTGGAGAGCAGAGACTGGGCCACCCCAAACCTGCCGAGGGATCTGGGGCAGAGCCAGGGAGCCAAGGGCAAGAGAGGGGAGGAAAGGAGAGGCTGAGGGGACGGCAGGGCTGCTGACCGTCATCTTGGTGTTCCACCCAGGAGCAGGTAATGCCCCCCTCCAACGTCTCGCTGAAGCGCAGCAGGAAGGTGCCGGAGACAGTCTTCTTCAGCAGCCGGCGCACCTGGTTCCGGCTCACGAAGCCCATGATGCGTCTGCAGCGCGAGAGCAGCTGTGAGGCCCTGCTGCTTCCGGCTCCCCGTGCAGACGGGCAGAGTGCCAGGGCTGGGCCCCAGCTCCGCCAACCTGTTACAGACCGCTCTGTGCTGGCCAGGTCATTTCACTGGACTGACAGTCTCCACCCCCCAGGGCTGGAGGAGGTGTGAAGCTTCAGTGAGAGCACGCGGGTGAAAAGCCCCCTGTGAAAAGCACAGCGCTGCCAGAGCGAGCGGGCAGGCTGTGTGGCAGGAGGTGCTCACTGGTGGGGTCAGACCGCCCCGGGGTCCGATCCCGACTGCCCCCCGAGCTCACTCCCTTAACCTCACGTCCTCGCTTGAGGGTGGCGACACCCACCACGCAGCAGGGCTGGAAGGGTGACATGAGCGAACTCATCAAGAGCACCTAGCAGGCTCTGGAACGCAGCGGACGCCTGGCAAATGCAGGCCAGGAGACTGCCGCTGAGCACGTGCAGGGGTGTGACCCCGCAGCGGGTTCGCACTCTCCCTCTCCCTGCCGCACGGGGGCGCACAGAGTCCTCGCTCCAGCCCGGAAAGGCAGCGGGGCCTGAGGGAGACTGACCAAGGCCTTACCCATCCTTCCAGAGATCCTTAAGGTGGTCATGTATCAGGTCCAGAATCTTGTCGAGCCACGTCCAGAACGGTAGCTTGCCAGGGGGACTCTCTCGCTGGAGGAGGAACAGCAAGGCAGGAAGGGGTGCAGAGCTGCCCCGGGGTGGAGGGGGAGGGCTGGGGGAAGGGCCAGTAACTGCACGGGGCGGGGACCCAGCTGCAAGGGACGCGGGGAATTACCTTAACGAAGTCGACCCAGGGCAACGACGCATCCTCAGTCCTGGAGTTCTGCCCTGTGGAAGGACAGTTCAAGATGATGGAAGGAGGCAAGGCCAAAGGTCCTGGGGCAGAAAGGATGGAGGGCTGGGGCAGAGAGAGGCTAGGGAAAGGCTGAGAGAAAAGAAGTGCCGGTACCAAACAGCTTGTCCCTCAGCATGCCCAGCTGGTCTGAGTCGAGGCCTCGATTAACATAGGAGGAGAACTGCCAACTGAGAGCAGGGCCCAGCAAGCTCCATGGGGCCTTCGGGGGGCTGGAGAAGAACTGCTGGTCCTGCAGAGGTGGGAGGGGCCAGGGTGGCTCAGAAGCAGCGCCCTCACACCAAGCTGCACGCCCCTCCTGGCCTCCCTTCCCTGGCGGGCCCCACCTCCTACCTCGGGGTTTGAGCTGAGCAGATTGAACCACAGAACCGAGGCCCAGGCAACTGAGAGCTGGTTCATGTTAGAAATAATCACCACAGGGAGGGTGTCCGTCTGAGGAAGGGACAGAGATCACCACCGAGGGATGTGACGTTCCCAACTGCAGACGCTTGCTAAAGGCCTGCCCGCAGCCACCCTCAAGGGTTTCTGCTCAGCCCCTCCCTGTCTCCCCACAAAGGCACTTCATTTTCACTCACTGTCAGCTCCTGCTTCAGGCCCTGGTAGGTGTATCTGACTGTGAAGCTAATGATGTGCAATTCCTCTGTAACGGACAGCGGCCCCTGGGACAACACAAGGCTCAGTGATCAGAGTGCCCCTAGCGACTTCCTCCTGCCCCCAACCCTCTGTCCAGGCCTCACCTTATTGTTGCCTTTGCCAGAACCCCCTGAACGCTGCTCCACCAGAGTCTGTGAAAGGAAGAGAGGGAGAAAGAATGCCAGAGAAGAGACCCCAGGGCCCCTGTAACCCCGGTTTTGCCCTCAGGACTTCCCAGGGCCTGGGAACTTCCCCCAGCCTGTTCCACTGCACTACAAGCTTAAAACAGCATCCCTCTGGGACTTCCCTGATGGTCCAGTGGTTGAAAATCTGCCTTCCGATCGACATGGGCTTAATATCTGGTCTGGGAACTAAGATGCCACATGCCACAGGGCAACTACACCCATGTACCACAACTAGAGATCCTGTGTGTCACAACAAAGGTGCCATGTGCTGCAACTAAGATCCAATCCAGCCAAATAAACAAAAATAAATATTAAAAAAAAAAAAGCATTCCTTCTTAACCACCTTACCAGGTAGCCGAAGTCCCAAATTAAGCCCTGAGTCTGGCCTTTCTCAGGGGTCAAAGTTTTCTGGTTTGAGGTCAGAAGGTTGAACTTCCGGAAGCTGTTCCAAGGAAAAAGAAGATACATGGAGGTCAGGAACACAGTCCGGTAGGAAAACAACAAAAGTTCCACTTCATTTCAGACATCCCCCCTCCTTTCTCTGTCTATGCACCACACAAATCAACCTCCTCCTGGTCTGTGTCCCCAGAAGGCCCACAGTCACACGTGACTGTGTAGCTCATGCAGTGCACAGAGTCTGCAGCATCCTTGTTAGGTACCTACCCTTGTGATTTGGGAGGATTCCTAAAAAGAAAAAAAAATCATTAGGAAGCAAAATAATGTAGAAGTAAGGGATTCAGTCTTTGGGGTCAGACAGACCTAAGTTCAAATAGCTCACCAGTTATGTGGCTTGCACTAGAGACATAAATTCTCTGAAGTTACTTCTTCATTTGAATAGTACATTGATAATATCTAACTCCTGGGGTTCCTGTGACAATTTTAAATTGGGTACTTGACAAGCTACATGTCACAGAGTAAGGACTCAAAAGGGATGAACTATTTCTATGAGGTAGTAATGGAAGGGGAAAGAATACAGCCCAAGGGCCTGGTTGTGAACGGTAGCTGTCTCCTCCACTCCATCACTCCATGTCCTGGGCACCTCCTGGTCCCACCGTTCACCTGCCCCAACTAACCTGTCAACGGAGACTTCCGCAGTCAGTGATTCACTGCCTTCCTGGAGTCTCACTAGCAGCCTGGAGGAGAGGGAGGTAGATGGGGGGAAGTGGTCAACCTCAATCTCCTGGATAGAACAGATGTTTAAAAAAGATAAGGGAAGAGATGAGAAGAGGTGAGTGGACCGAGGGGAAATGAGAGAAGAAACAGCTCAGAATGAGAAGATCTGAAAAGCCAAAGAGCACACAGTGTCAGGAAAAAGGAAGCAGGAATGAGTTCTGAGATGCCAACCTTGTTCGGACGGTGAACTTGCTCCCTGTCTTGAGGATGAGGGGTCGATGAAGAGTTTGGGGCATGCAGGGCTGATTTTCTACTACAAAGGCTCTGGAGAGATGTGGAGAGAATACACAGAGGTCAGTATCTGTGAGAACGGCCCCCGGGTCCTTTCCCGCCGGCCTCCCTAGGGTCCCTGTCCTGGCCTCCAGACCTGTGGAGCAGGCGCTGCAGCAGCTCTGTGACCTGGGCCTCCCGCAGGTCCACGCCTTTTCTCAGAGGGTCCCCCTCGTAGGAGACCATGTGACTCAACTCCCTCAGCTCCTTCAGCAGCTGCCGCAGGTGGAACAACAGCTTCGCTCCATCTGTGAACCTGGGTGATGACACGATCCAAGGAGCAAAGAACCATGAGTTTCCTGGAACCCCCAGACAGGCCCCAAAAGCTCCTCTTTAACTATGTGGAAAGTCATAAACCGATTGGGACAAAAAAAGAATCCAGGAAGTGTATGAAAGATTATTCAACATTGTCCATAATGCAGAGAATGAAAATGAAAGCCACTTTCACATATAAAACCAGTAAAAGATTCATTAACATAATAAAGTTAACACATGATGCTTGATCTCTACTTTTTTTTAAAGTGCTTTACACATCTTCATGCATTTAATTCTTAAAACAACCCTGTGAGGTAGGTACCATTTTATCCCTATTTTATGGAGGATAAAGCTGAGGCACAGAGAGAGAGTAAAGTGACTTGCTCAAGGTCATAAAACGGGTAAGGAGTGAAGTTGTATGTGGCCCCAGGCAGTCTGGCTGTACAATTCATACTTTTAACTTCTATATTTTACTGTTTTTATAATAAGAAATAATAGCAATAGACAATGTGGTAACAGGAAAACAATCGTGCACTATATAAAGGCAAACAGATTGGGATAACAGTTTGGAACTATTTTTTAAAAAGCCTTAAGAATGTACATATGCTTTACAGTATTCCATCTCTAACATACATCCTAAGGAAATAAACAAACCGACAGACAGATGGTCACAGTTCATGGCTTTGTTGTCTGTAATAGAAAAATTAGAAACAATTGGTATTGGGTATATGTGGTGGTAATTTAGTTGCTAAGTCATGTTCGACTCTTTGAGATCCCCAGGTATAAATTATGTTATAGTTACATCATGGAATACTATGCAACCATTAAAAATAATGATAAAATAGGTGGAAAATTTTAATATGGAAAATATCCAAAAATATTAAATTAAAAATATAAGATAGCATACATATATGGTATAATCTGACTTCTGTTTAAAACAGATGTATATTTGTGTATATCCATAGGGAAAATCTGGAAAAATGTATTCAAAAGCATTAACAGTGGGTACCTCTGCATGATCAGATTATGCAGATGGATAATTTTTACTTCTTTTCCTCTTTTCAGTAGTCTGAAATTTTTTCAATTGGCATATATTTACAATCAGAAAAAGCAATAAAGCTCTTTGTATATAAAAACAATGAAATAAAAGAACACCACAGTAACAGCACCACCACCAAGAAGATATATTCTCCAACCCGGGAATATCACTTCCAATAACTTACAGAAATAAATTAGAGCTGTAAATAGGGATGTAACTATGAGGTTATTTCTGGAGGAGGAAAAGGCAATGCACTCCAGTATCCTTGCCTGGAAAATTCCACGAACAGAGGAGCCTAACAGGCTACCGTCCATGGGATCACAAAGAGTTGGACACAACTCAGCACACACGCAAACGCACAGAGGTTATTTACTGTGGCACTGCTTACAACAGTGACAAATCGAGAATTCCCTGCCAGTCCAGTGGTTAGCACTTCCACTGTAAAGGAGATGGGTTTGTCCTTGGTCACGGAACTAAGATCCCACAAGCCAGCACAGCATAGCCAAAAATAAAAAAAGCAAGAAACCACTCACAGGCCATAGTTTGCCAATCCTGCAACTGTAATTTAAACACTTATCCTGTACCCTAACCCTATACACCTGTTTTCAATTTACCTGAACAGTTGTGATATATTTTTACTTATTTATTTGTTAACTTTCAGCTGCACCACATAGCATGCAGGACCTTAGTTCCCTGACCAGCGATCGAACTCATGCCCTCTGCAGTGGGAAGGTGCAGTCTTACCACTGGACCACCAGGGAAGTTCCCTGTGGTATATTTTTAATAAATTGCTGCTGCTGCTGCTGCTAAATCACTTCAGTCGTGTCCGACTCTGCTCGACCCCATAGACAGCAGCCCACCAGGCTCCCCCGTCCCTGAGATTCTCCAGGCAAGAACACTGGAGTGGGTTGCCATTTCCTTCTCCAATGCGTGAAAGTGAAAAGTTAAAATGAAGCCGCTCAGTCGTGTCTGACTCTTAAGTGACCCCATGGACTGCAGCCTACCAGGCTCCTCCATACATGGGATTTCCCAGGCAAGAGTACTGGAGTGGGGTGCCATTGCCTTCTCCGTTTAATAGATTAAATTATAATAAATTTTCGTATGAGAAAATACTTAAATAATAGGTATCTTTCAAATCAAATATATTGAAGGACACATTAGTTATTTTTTTTACATCACAATAGGTAATATAAGTTAGTTTACTAGAAAACAATAGCAAGAAATTAAAAGCAACCCGAATATCCAAATATAGGTGTTTATTAATTAAATTATATTATTCCCATAAAGGGAACTATGACACATCTATTAAAAGTATCATGGGTAGGGACTTCCCTGCTGGTTAAGACTCCAGGCTTCCACTGCAAGGGGCATGGGTTTGATCCCTGCTTGGGGAATTAAGGTCCCACATGCCGTGTGGTATGGCCAAAAAAACCATATCACAAGTAAATATTATATACTGCTAAGTTAAAAAAACAAACTCACAGGTCTCAAAGTAGTTTGAACAATACATTTCAATTTTTGTTTAATAATATTATAGTAGCTACAACCAGATATCAAGGTAACAGGTAATTTTCTTTTCCTTTTTTTGCGGCATTATATTCATTGCACTAAAAAAAGGTAAAAAGATAATTCTCTGGTGATTATAAAGAGGCAGGAAAAATTGGACTGTGGATCAATTCATTATCTTCCCCAAAGCAAAGACTGGGCTCTGGGCTTGATGGGCGGCGAGAATGAAGAGCAGCGTGCAGCTGCAGTCAGACAAGGAACTGAGACCGCTCTGGGGAGCAGAGACTGAGGAGGACGGTGTCTGAGACCGCTCTGGGGAGCAGAGACTGAGGAGGACGGTGTCTGAGACTGCTCTGGGGAGCAGAGACTGAGGAGGACGGTGACTGAGACCGCTCTGGGGAGCAGAGACTGAGGAGGACGGTGACTGAGACCGCTCTGGGGAGCAGAGACTGAGGAGGACGGTGTCTGAGACCGCTCTGGGGAGCAGAGACTGAGGAGGACGGTGACTGAGACCGCTCTGGGGAGCAGAGACTGAGGAGGACGGTGTCTGAGACCGCTCTGGGGAGCAGAGACTGAGGAGGACGGTGACTGAGACCGCTCTGGGGAGCAGAGACTGAGGAGGACGGTGACTGAGACCGCTCTGGGGAGCAGAGACTGAGGAGGACGGTGTCTGAGACCGCTCTGGGGAGCAGAGACTGAGGAGGACGGTGTCTGAGACCGCTCTGGGGAGCAGAGACTGAGGAGGACGGTGACTGAGACCGCTCTGGGGAGCAGAGACTGAGGAGGACGGTGACTGAGACCGCTCTGGGGAGCAGAGACTGAGGAGGACGGTGACTGAGACCGCTCTGGGGAGCAGAGACTGAGGAGGACGGTGTCTGAGACCGCTCTGGGGAGCAGAGACTGAGGAGGACGGTGTCTGAGACCGCTCTGGGGAGCAGAGACTGAGGAGGACGGTGTCTGAGACCGCTCTGGGGAGCAGAGACTGAGGAGGACGGTGTCTGAGACCGCTCTGGGGAGCAGAGACTGAGGAGGACGGTGTCTGAGACCGCTCTGGGGAGCAGAGACTGAGGAGGACGGTGACTGAGACCGCTCTGGGGAGCAGAGACTGAGGAGGACGGTGACTGAGACCGCTCTGGGGAGCAGAGACTGAGGAGGACGGTGACTGAGACCGCTCTGGGGAGCAGAGACTGAGGAGGACGGTGACTGAGACCGCTCTGGGGAGCAGAGACTGAGGAGGACGGTGTCTGAGACCGCTCTGGGGAGCAGAGGCTGAGGAGGACGGTGTCTGAGACCGCTCTGGGGAGCAGAGGCTGAGGAGGACGGTGTCTGAGACCGCTCTGGGGAGCAGAGGCTGAGGAGGACCGTGACTGAGACCGCTCTGGGGAGCAGAGGCTGAGGAGGACGGTGTCTGAGACCGCTCTGGGGAGCAGAGGCTGAGGAGGACGGTGACTGAGACCGCTCTGGGGAGCAGAGGCTGAGGAGGACGGTGACTGAGACCGCTCTGGGGAGCAGAGACTGAGGAGGACGGTGACTGAGACCGCTCTGGGGAGCAGAGACTGAGGAGGACGGTGTCTGAGACCGCTCTGGGGAGCAGAGACTGAGGAGGACGGTGACTGAGACCGCTCTGGGGAGCAGAGACTGAGGAGGACGGTGTCTGAGACCGCTCTGGGGAGCAGAGACTGAGGAGGACCGTGACTGAGACCGCTCTGGGGAGCAGAGACTGAGGAGGACGGTGTCTGAGACCGCTCTGGGGAGCAGAGACTGAGGAGGACGGTGACTGAGACCGCTCTGGGGAGCAGAGACTGAGGAGGACGGTGACTGAGACCGCTCTGGGGAGCAGAGACTGAGGAGGACGGTGACTGAGACCGCTCTGGGGAGCAGAGACTGAGGAGGACGGTGTCTGAGACCGCTCTGGGGAGCAGAGACTGAGGAGGACCGTGACTGAGACCGCTCTGGGGAGCAGAGACTGAGGAGGACGGTGACTGAGACCGCTCTGGGGAGCAGAGACTGAGGAGGACGGTGACTGAGACCGCTCTGGGGAGCAGAGACTGAGGAGGACGGTGTCTGAGACCGCTCTGGGGAGCAGAGACTGAGGAGGACGGTGACTGAGACCGCTCTGGGGAGCAGAGACTGAGGAGGACGGTGTCTGAGACCGCTCTGGGGAGCAGAGACTGAGGAGGACGGTGTCTGAGACCGCTCTGGGGAGCAGAGACTGAGGAGGACGGTGTCTGAGACCGCTCTGGGGAGCAGAGACTGAGGAGGACGGTGTCTGAGACCGCTCTGGGGAGCAGAGACTGAGGAGGACGGTGACTGAGACCGCTCTGGGGAGCAGAGACTGAGGAGGACGGTGACTGAGACCGCTCTGGGGAGCAGAGACTGAGGAGGACGGTGTCTGAGACCGCTCTGGGGAGCAGAGACTGAGGAGGACGGTGTCTGAGACCGCTCTGGGGAGCAGAGACTGAGGAGGACGGTGACTGAGACCGCTCTGGGGAGCAGAGACTGAGGAGGACGGTGACTGAGACCGCTCTGGGGAGCAGAGACTGAGGAGGACGGTGACTGAGACCGCTCTGGGGAGCAGAGACTGAGGAGGACGGTGTCTGAGACCGCTCTGGGGAGCAGAGACTGAGGAGGACGGTGTCTGAGACCGCTCTGGGGAGCAGAGACTGAGGAGGACGGTGACTGAGACCGCTCTGGGGAGCAGAGACTGAGGAGGACGGTGTCTGAGACCGCTCTGGGGAGCAGAGACTGAGGAGGACGGTGTCTGAGACCGCTCTGGGGAGCAGAGACTGAGGAGGACGGTGACTGAGACCGCTCTGGGGAGCAGAGACTGAGGAGGACGGTGACTGAGACCGCTCTGGGGAGCAGAGACTGAGGAGGACGGTGTCTGAGACCGCTCTGGGGAGCAGAGACTGAGGAGGACGGTGTCTGAGACCGCTCTGGGGAGCAGAGACTGAGGAGGACGGTGTCTGAGACCGCTCTGGGGAGCAGAGACTGAGGAGGACGGTGTCTGAGACCGCTCTGGGGAGCAGAGACTGAGGAGGACGGTGTCTGAGACCGCTCTGGGGAGCAGAGACTGAGGAGGACGGTGTCTGAGACCGCTCTGGGGAGCAGAGACTGAGGAGGACGGTGACTGAGACCGCTCTGGGGAGCAGAGACTGAGGAGGACGGTGACTGAGACCGCTCTGGGGAGCAGAGACTGAGGAGGACGGTGACTGAGACCGCTCTGGGGAGCAGAGACTGAGGAGGACGGTGACTGAGACCGCTCTGGGGAGCAGAGACTGAGGAGGACGGTGTCTGAGACCGCTCTGGGGAGCAGAGACTGAGGAGGACGGTGACTGAGACCGCTCTGGGGAGCAGAGACTGAGGAGGACGGTGTCTGAGACCGCTCTGGGGAGCAGAGACTGAGGAGGACGGTGTCTGAGACCGCTCTGGGGAGCAGAGACTGAGGAGGACGGTGTCTGAGACCGCTCTGGGGAGCAGAGACTGAGGAGGACGGTGTCTGAGACCGCTCTGGGGAGCAGAGACTGAGGAGGACGGTGTCTGAGACCGCTCTGGGGAGCAGAGACTGAGGAGGACGGTGTCTGAGACCGCTCTGGGGAGCAGAGACTGAGGAGGACGGTGACTGAGACCGCTCTGGGGAGCAGAGACTGAGGAGGACGGTGACTGAGACCGCTCTGGGGAGCAGAGACTGAGGAGGACGGTGTCTGAGACCGCTCTGGGGAGCAGAGACTGAGGAGGACGGTGTCTGAGACCCCTCTGGGGAGCAGAGACTGAGGAGGACGGTGACTGAGACCGCTCTGGGGAGCAGAGACTGAGGAGGACGGTGTCTGAGACCGCTCTGGGGAGCAGAGACTGAGGAGGACGGTGTCTGAGACCGCTCTGGGGAGCAGAGACTGAGGAGGACGGTGACTGAGACCGCTCTGGGGAGCAGAGACTGAGGAGGACGGTGCCTGAGACCGCTCTGGGGAGCAGAGACTGAGGAGGACGGTGACTGAGACCGCTCTGGGGAGCAGAGACTGAGGAGGACGGTGTCTCCAGTCATAAAGAGGCCACTGTGTGTGTGCTCCGCCACTCGATGGTGTCTGACTGTGACCCCACGGCTGTAGCCTGCCAGGTTCCTGTGTCCATGAGATTTCTCAGGCAAGAAACCTGGGGTGGATTGCCATGTCCTCCTCCAGGGGATCTTCCCGACCCAGGGACTGCATGCAGGCCTGCTGCATTGCAGCAGGATGCCTTACCACTGAGCCACTGGAGAGGCTCACTCAGGGCATTATGGTCTACGAAGCACAGGCGGTAGCTAGGACTAGGGACAGGTGCGCGTGAGGTGGGGAGCCGCCTCTCACCGCTTTTCCAGCTGTTCCAAGCCCCCGACAGGGGGCGCGCCAATGCAGGCTCTCTGCTGCTGGACCTTCCATTCCTCCAGCTCGGGCAGCAGCAGCTCAATTAAGGTAGTTAACTGGCCGAGCAGTGCTTTGGAGACATCCAGCACCTCCTAGGGTAGACATAAAGTGAGCACTGAGAGCCTCTCGCCATTACCCTCCACCATCCAACGGGGCGTGCAGAGACAACGGCACCAAGGCCAGGAAGCCAGGGCTCCTGATGCCTCCTTTTCCCCAGTTCCCTGCCGCCGCTCCCTCCGTCCTGACTCCCACCTTTCTCTGTCTGTCCAGTTCATTGAGTGTTTCCTGAAGAATGTCCATCCGTCTGGTCTGACGGGGGTCCAAAGAAGGGGTCTTCACTGGGTGGCAGGAGAGGGCGGGGGACAAGTGCTCAGACCTAGGGCTCCTCCCCCCTCCTCCCCGACCCAGACCGAGCTTCAGAGGGAGAAGAAGGGGAACCGGGACAAGCACAGGCACCTCTGGGCCCTCAGGCAAACGCGCTGCGTCACCTTGCTAGAACCAGAAGCCCACTCCGTCGGCCAAGGCAGTTTCCCAAACACCTCCTCCAACCTTCACCAGCTATCCCTCGGTTTATATCACTACCCTGACCTCTACGACATACCCTGCCACTTCCAGCGTTGCAGGGCAGCAGGACTATAACCAGCAAGATGCAGCCACAGGTGATCACCACTTACTGGGACTTTTCCCTTCTGCTCTACTCTACCCCCCGCCCCCCGGTAGGCACCCCACCCCCCAAAGTGCCGTCTACCTGATTTCTCGATATTATATCGGAAACAGAAGACATCCTGCTGGTCTTTCAGTTGGCTGATGGATTTCACCAGCTTCTGCGGAAGAGATGACACCCCAGTTAGGCTGCCTCCGTGAGAGGAGGCAGGTTGAGTCCTGCCCACCCTGGCTGTTGCCGCATCTACCAACCTCCTTCATAGCCTGTAATTTCAGGATCCGGGAATCAAGTTCATGCTGCTGGCTCTCCCCAGGTGCTTCAGGGGCTGGCTCTCGTTGCTCCTGAAATAAAAGGCTATGAGCACATTTCAACTCTGACCTGTCACCCCTAAAATCCAGACCTGAAATTAAATCACAGGATGTGGAGAGATCTTGTTCTGAGGCAAATTTCCTGAGTCTTTTGCATGGTCCCTCTCTACTCCAGGAGCTTTTCAACACACCACCAAATTGTTCTCACCAGCTGAGCCCTCTGAGCCCAGGTCAGAATTCTTTTTTCTTCCAGAAGGAGGTTAAAGATCATCTCAGCCAACTGGGTAGAGCCAGTGGGAAGGGCCTGCAGTAGGAAAAGAGGAAGAAGTGATAGAACTCAACTGCCATCAATGAACTACCACCTCAGACCCTCCCCACTGGTGACCTCGGTACTCTCCCCTTCTTCAGGATCCCAAGCCCTACCCCTTTTCACCACTGGTTCCTCAAACCCTAGCCTCTTTAATAGGATCACCTAGACTCTGCCCTTCTCACTTCCAGGGATCCCCTAAATCCAGACTCTGTCCTTTTCCCCCCAAATCTTCTCCTGTCCATTTGAACCTCCAGGTCTTGTTCCATGTTCCATATCCAGAAAGTCCTCCTCTTCACACAGCTCCCATTCCTACCGTGTTACCCCCGCTCCTCTGAGCACCTGAACGTCCCTTCCATATCACGCAGCTCCCATTCCTACTGTGTTACCCGCTGCTCCTCTGAGCACCTGAAAGTCCCTTCCATCTCACGCAGCTCCCATTCCTACTCTGTTATCCCCGCTCCTCTGAGCCCCTGAACGTCCCTTCCATATCACGCAGTTCCCATTCCTACTCTGTTACCCCGCTCCTCTGAGCACCTGAACGTCCCTTCCATCTCACGGATCTCCCATTCCTACTCTGTTACCCCGCTGCTCCTCTGAGCACCTGAACGTCCCTTCCATATCACGCAGTTCCCATTCCTACTCTGTTACCCGCCGCTCCTCTGAGCACCTGAACGTCCCTTCCATATCACGCAGTTCCCATTCCTACTGTTACCCCGCCGCTCCTCTGAGCACCTGAACGTCCCTTCCATATCACGCAGTTCCCATTCCTACTGTTACCCGCCGCTCCTCTGAGCACCTGAACGTCCCTTCCATATCACCCAGCACCCATTCCTACTCTGTTACCCCGCCGCTCCTCTGAGCACCTGAACGTCCCTTCCGTATCATGGAGCTCCCATTCCTACTCTGTTATCCCCGCTCCTCTGAGCACCTGAACGTCCCTTCCATATCACGCAGTTCCCATTCCTACTATGTTACCCCTGCTCCTCTGAGCACCTGAAGGTCCCTTCCATACGCAGTTCCCATTCCTACTCTGTTACCCGCCGCTCCTCTGAGCACCTGAACGTCCCTTCCATATCACGCAGTTCCCATTCCTACTCTGTTACCCCGCTCCTCTGAGCACCTGAACGTCCCTTCCATCTCACGGATCTCCCATTCCTACTCTGTTACCCGCCGCTCCTCTGAGCACCTGAAAGTCCCTTCCATATCACGCAGTTCCCATTCCTACTGTTACCCCGCCGCTCCTCTGAGCACCTGATCGTCCCTTCCATATCACGCAGTTCCCATTCCTACTCTGTTACCCGCCGCTCCTCTGAGCACCTGAACGTCCCTTCCATATCACCCAGCACCCATTCCTACTCTGTTACCCCGCCGCTCCTCTGAGCACCTGAACGTCCCTTCCGTATCATGGAGCTCCCATTCCTACTCTGTTACCCCCGCTCCTCTGAGCACCTGAATGTCCCTTCCATATCACGCAGCTCCCATTCCTACTATGTTACCCCTGCTCCTCTGAGCACCTGAACGTCCCTTCCATACGCAGTTCCCATTCCTACTCTGTTACCCGCCGCTCCTCTGAGCACCTGAACGTCCCTTCCATATCACGCAGTTCCCATTCCTACTATGTTACCCCTGCTCCTCTGAGCACCTGAACGTCCCTTCCATCTCACGGATCTCCCATTCCTACTCTGTTACCCCGCCGCTCCTCTGAGCACCTGAACGTCCCTTCCATACACAGTTCCCATTCCTACTCTGTTACCCGCCGCTCCTCTGAGCACCTGAACGTCCCTTCCATATCACGCAGTTCCCATTCCTACTCTGTTACCCCCGCTGCTCTGAGCACCTGAACGTCCCTTCCATATCACGCAGTTCCCATTCCTACTCTGTTACCCCCGCTGCTCTGAGCACCTGAACGTCCCTTCCATCTCACGCAGTTCCCATTCCTACTCTGTTACCCCCGCTCCTCTGAGCACCTGAACGTCCCTTCCATCTCACGGATCTCCCATTCCTACTCTGTTACCCCGCCGCTCCTCTGAGCACCTGAACGTCCCTTCCGTATCATGGAGCTCCCATTCCTACTCTGTTACCCCGCTGCTCCTCTGAGCACCTGAACGTCCCTTCCATACGCAGTTCCCATTCATACTCTGTTACCCCCGCTCCTCTGAGCACCTGAACGTCCCTTCCATATCACCCACCTCCCATTCCTACTCTGTTACCCCCGCTGCTTTGAGCACCTGAACGTCCCTTCCATATCATGCAGTTCCCATTCCTACTCTGTTACCCCGCTGCTCCTCTGAGCACCTGAACGTCCCTTCCATACGCAGTTCCCATTCCTACTCTGTTACCCCCGCTCCTCTGAGCACCTGAACGTCCCGATAGAATTTTCGCAAGTTGTGCTGTAGCAGAAAATAGTCAGGGTCTTGGCTGCATCGGCCACACTCAGAGTTGAGTTGGTCCAAGAAGTGGAAGAATAGCATATTAGCCATGGCAGCATCGTTTCCCAGTGCGGCTTCCTGCCTGGGGACCAGGAAGAACAAGGATGAGTGTGTGTGCAGGACTGGTACTATTGTGAGGCCTTTGAACCCCTTCCAGGTTTCTCCAGGATCCTGGGGGCTCAGGAGAAAGAAATCACTCTCTTCATCCCCCCCAATTCCCAGAAGGCCTCACCAGTTCTGATCTTCAATCCAGACAGCCAAGTGCTGTCGAACGTCCATCGGCAGGAGGCTGTTTGAGTAGAGTTCATGCAGCTGGTCCTGAAACGGGCTGTCAAGGTTCTGCAGCATCTCCCACTGCGCCATCTGGGGTCTGAGCCTCAAGGATGCAGATTCCCAACTGGAAACTTTGCTGGACTAAATCATCCACAGTCTCATGATTATTTATTATTACAAATTTAAAAATTAAACCATACCAGCGAGAAAAAAATTAAAGTCTAGATTGATCCCACTTCCAATCTTGGTCCCTTTTCCTTCTCTCCAGAAGTAACCAGTATTACCAGTTTGGTGCATATTTTTCCATGGAGTATTATTTAAGAGCTCCAATGTGTAGGCCTTTTTTGTTTCAGTGGTAATTTTCAAACACACAACAAAGTTGAGTAGTACAAGGATCATCCATGTACCCATCACCCAACTTCAACAATCAGTAATGGTATTTCCACAATCTTTATTTCATTTATCTCCCCAGTGAACTTATACATGCATTTGCTTGGTTTTGTACACACTTATGCTAGACCATTTAAAAGTCAGTCTTGAGTTTTTATTTCAGCATTATCCCTGCTGGCCCCAAACCTTTTATCAGAGGCTGAAACCTCCGTGGAGATAAACTGCTCTCCCAGTTGGAAGGAGGAGCTCCACTCTTTACCTGATGCTTAAGATGCCTAAACACTGTGGAAGGGGTCACTCAATCCCTAGGACTATGACACTTTTATGACCTCTGTCAATTTCTAATTCTTCATGTGGATTATCAACTTTGTGAGATAATCAACACACAAATTTCAATTGAGTGAAACCAATTTCACTCAAAACTGGTTTTTGCCGGTCACCAAACAGGCTGGGTGAAGAACTGTTCTCCTTACCTCTCCCTGCCCACTGCCATCTGTCTGTTTAGAAAATCTAAACTTCTTGCAGCCTAAGCCTAACAGAAAAGAATAAACACCCCCTTCTGTGGGCAAAGAAAAGGTCACATTTTAATTACAACACATGCTTAGGGTGGGGAAGATTCTTTTCCACCAGTAATCATTTCTTCCTCTGGGAAGTAGGAACAGGGGAAGAAAAGAATTGGGCAGGGGCTCTGCCATTTTAACCCTTTTAATAGAGCTTGACTTTTTAAACTCTGTATTTGTATTGCTTTAAAAAAAAAACAAATGACCAGGCCTCAGTTCCTAAGGAACTAATCAGCTTGTATTAATAAAGCAAAGCAGCAAGTAAACCCTGAGGTTTAAATATGAAAAATAAAAACAAAAAACCTGGCCTTCTTAAATAGATTGCAAACACGGAGGTTAAGGGCTAAAAACTCTTCTTTCTCCAGTTACCTATTACTCGTTCAGGTGCACATTTTGTTCTCCACAAGCTTTTCTGAATTGAACTGTAATTTTTTTCTTCTGCTGAGGATCAGAAATAACACAGACCAACCTGGAGTGGAATGGACTGGAAGGTGGGAGGGAGGTTAGCGAGGGAGGGGACACATATATACCTATGGCTGATTCACGCAGATACATGGCAGAAACCAACACAACACTGTAAAGCAACTACCGTCCAATAAAACAAACACACAGACCAAAAGGTAAAAGTGTTGGCCAAGACGCTGAACCAATGCAACAACGCCAGGTTTCGGGTCTTGGAAGTAGGGGTGTTTCTGGAATGGGGCATTACGATTGGACCCCTAGGTTGGACAGGAGGGGCAGCAAGCGACAGCTCCTATTTCTACCTGGAAACAGAGTCTGACCCCTCCGGGGTGTACCCGCCCGGGCCTACCTTCCATCTGAGGAGAAAACTCGCTCCTCCACCTACACCCCCGCGCGCCCCTTCAAGGCCAGTACCTGGTCAGGGTCTCAGGCCCAGGTCCCTGCAGCAGCTCCGGCCCAGGCTTCCGGTCGCCAGAAAGCGTTCCGGCACCAGGGCCTCCAGAGACGCCCTCGGCTTCTGCCGGCGTCTCGGACCCGCCCCCTTTCCGCAGGCTTGAGAAAGAGGCAGAATCTCAGAGCTCGTCAGGTCCAGACGGGCACCTCGGCACCGGCTGCCAATCAGTCAAACGCTTCCCCAGGCCGTGAGCTCATTGGCGCCACCACAGCACCACCTCCCCGAGGGGCGGGGCAGGAGGAGCCGAAGCCACACCCCCAGCGGCCGCAAACGGTGGGCGGGCTCAAGTAAGCCCCGCCCCGTGCGTGCGGAGGGAGGAGCCCAGTTAGCAGAACTGCTCAGGACCGAAACAGCTGATTTCCGAGAATCAGAACCCACTCGGCGGAACCGAGACTAGTTCAAGATCTTGGAGGCGTTGACCTAAGAAGCGGGCGGAATTGCGACACTTTGGGACGGGAAGGGGAGGGCATAAGTAACAACAACAATAACAATGACAAAAGCTGCTTTATTGTTGGTACGGTGCTAAGCATTAGTACAGCGTATCGTTTCTAATTTCCACGAAACCTCTTGAGATGCAAATCATTACCCTCACTTTAGAAATTTTAAAAAACTGAGTTTGGAGAAATAAGTTACTAGTCAATGGTCACTGAAGCTCTAACAAGTGGAGCCTGGATTCAAAGCCAAATCCTCTGATTCCAAACCAGAAACTTTAAAATTCTTACACGTTACAGTACTGCTTTTCTCCTTGATAAGAAATCAGAGATTTGGATTTTGAACACACACATTACAAGTTACAGGATACTAGGTCTAGTAATCAGTGTTTACCACCTTCTTTTATTATTTACTTATTTATTTTTGGCCACATCGCCAAAAGGTGAGCAGAAAAACGTTAGCTCTTCTCATTCCCCTCTTTCTTTGCTTTTTTGTAATCTCAGAACACTTATCCTGATCTGGTTATGGATTGTAGTTTATAGAAGGGAAGGAATCAGAGTAGAGTTCTGCTAGATCAAGTGGACTGGATTGAATTCTCTTTAGTGAGAGGTCACTATCTTTTTATTTTATTATTTTTTATTTTGGCTGTGCTGCACGGCTTGCATGATGTTAGTTCCCTGACCGGGGATTGAACCTAGGCCCTCTGTCAGTGAAAGGGTGGAGGCCTAACGGTTGACTCCTGTCACCTTCTTTTATACCCTAATATTCCAATACCTAGGATCTAAGCCACAGTTGTTGAACAAGGCCCACGCCCAGCACGGATTTGAACTTCCTGCTTCTGACACGGAGGGGCCGTGACAGTTGTTTCTTCCACGCCACTCATATCCGAGGTGCTCCCCAAGACCTCCTCGCTGGTCTCTGGTGGAGGGGTGTTTGCCTCTCTCTCGTAGTAATACTGGGTCAGCCGCGGAACCCCAGCCTTCAGCGCAGGTTTAAGTGCAGTGCCGATCTTTAGCCCTGTGGGTCCCCCTGACGTTCCAGCCATGGCCATCAGAAGGTCATATCCGAGATCTATGACCCCATCTCGGCCTCGTTCCTTGGCCATGTCCGAGCAGTTCCGAACAGCATAATACACTGCTGTGCCCAGGTTGTAGAAGGTTCCCACTCCCGGCAACATCTGGGCTATGTTGTGCACACTCTGCTCCTGCTCCTGCTCACAGTCTTTGACGGAGGGTGACCGTCGGGCTCTCCGTGGGCCTGGGTTCTCTCCAGCCCACAGCTGCAGAGCAGAGGTCAGGGCATCTACTGACACTCCCGTCCCTCTGCTTCTGCTTCTCTCCAGCTCTTGCAGATGTCTGATGAGGGTCTGTGTAGCGTTTACACCCCCTTGGCGGTACAGCCGCAGCTGCAGGACCCGTATATCACCTTGACAAGCAGCTCTCTCCAGGGCGATCATCAGTGGCAGGCTTACCAGGAACCTGGGGAGAGGGGCCATCTGAGTGAAGCCAGGGAGGGAATTGGGAAGAAGGGTCTGGCAAGACAAGGGGTATGAGGAAGTTAGCGAGGATTCCAAGGGTGAAGGAAGATGTAGTAAGACATCCGTCTGGTTTCCAGATGAAATGGCGTCTGCAGTGTGCAGCAGGAAGCAGCAGAGAAGTAGCTCAAGTGGTAACATGGTGTGTCTGAGACCATGCAGGTCTGTAGCAGAGTGCACTGGAGAGGGGAGAAACCAGAGGGATACAAACCATTTCCGTAAGGGCTGTGGTCCAAAAGGAGCCCAGGACTCGGGGCGAACCTCATCTCTTACCTCCAAACTTCTGATCTTTTTTAGCTAAAGGACTAAAAACCAGGAAACTCAACCCGATTGTTCTCACTTGACCTTCTCCATCTTCAGGTCTTCCTCAGCATGATTCCCACCCATTTAGAAGGAGCTCCAAATTACCCCACAGTCCAGTGATTCAGAAGTGAGACCGCCTTGATGGATTTGGTAGCTCCTCGATCCTGTTCTGCCGACTCCTCTGCCCCATGAAGAGAGCAGATGTGCTGGCTTTCCTCTAGTATCAGTAATAGATGTAATCTCTGCAAATATTTGTTCCTCTGTTCTGGCTTCTCAGACTTTGCGCACTTGTCCCACACTTGGCCTCAGTATCTAAAAACTTCGGCATTTGGCATTTCCAACCAGTCCCTGCAACGTTCCCACTTTAGCTCATGATAGAAGCTGGGAGACCCAGAATCAGAAGAGACTAGATGTCTATGATTCCCTTTTATTTCTCTTTTCAGTTTAAAAATTAAATTAGCAAGCTACAGTGTCTCATTGGGGTTTTAGTACAGGGGGAGGGATAAGGAAAAAAGTTCAAACGCTTCTCATGCTGAGATGTATTACAGGTACAGTATATGCTAACTGAAAGAAAAAATGAAAAATGGAATGTGAAATAAGGACTGAGAGCTACCAAGTGGAGAAGGGCAAGGTTAAAGCCAGCATTGGGATGAAATAGAGAGTGTCTACTCTAAGTAGTGTCCAACATTTCTGCCTGCTTACTGTGTCCCATCTTATTTATTTATTTGCCTGTGTTTGGTATTTGTTCCAGCACCAGGGTCTTCGTTACATTGTGTGGGCTTCTCTCTAGTTGTGGTGCATAGTTGAGGGTGTATGGGCTTCGTTAACCTGTGGGATGTGGGATCTGTGGGATCTGTGGGATCAAACCTGTGTCCCCTGCATTGGAAGGCAGATTCTTAACCACTGAACCATCAGGGAAGTCCCTGTGCCATCTTTGAACACGGTCCTGGGAGAGCAGACCTGTTTACAATGTGGCATTGAATATCTGCAGTAAAGAATCTGGACAAGTTCCCGTTTCTCCATAAAGCACTTCAGCATAGCTGTAGAACATTTTGTAAATCATGTTGTCGTCATCCACAGACATTGAGAGGCTCTTAACTTGGGGATGTTTTAAGCTTTTTACCTAACTCTCCAACTAGTTCCCAAGACTCATGCTGGCAGTTCTAGAAGAGGTTGATTCCAAAAGCTCTGAATTGTGTTACACAACACGGGAGATGGCTTCTCAGAGAGTTCAATCGCCATTCAAGTTAACTGGCAGAGCAGCCCACCCAAAGGGTTGTATTCACCATCATTAATAAACCTCTCAAGGTAAGTAGCTGAGTTTTTTATTCATCCAGTCCTCCCTGGGGGTCCCCCAAGATTCCTCAGAATGACTTTAGCATTGCCAGTGCCTTTTCCTTTGTTGTGCTTTTTGCTCTCACGGATGACGGGTTCGGTCCTTCTCTCCTGTCTTAACAAGCTGAATGTGCAGAATGTGAGCCTCAGTTGTGCAACCAGCCTCTCGCAGGACCACCTCCAAAGCTAGGCTGGATAGGTGCTCAGGCAGAGGGCTAAGGAGGGCCACATGCGAGGGATGCTTTAGGGCCTGGGAGAGGGGTCTGGCTGGAGAGCAGGTTCAGAGGATGCCCAGTTTCTGAGATAGGCTGCTGAAAGTTCGGGGCCCCTCCCTGGGCATGTCTTGGGAAGGCAGCCACTGGGGACAGCAAGACACAGCGAAGGAGCAGCGCAGCCTGGATCACCGTGGGCCCCAGAACAGCCCTGCTGGAAAGCAGCAGTGCTCAGAGTGGGCAGTGGGGAAAGTCTTGGGATGAAGAGACTCCAGGACTGGTCAGAGCTTGGAAGTGTCTCAGCCCTTAGAAACTTCAGTTACCCTGAACATACCTCACACCCATATGGGCTATGGGAGGTCCTCACTGTTTCGAGGAAGAAGCAAACCAGAAGAACAAGAAAGTCCAAACAACTTTGCTTTGATATCTTCATGGCTGGAATGACGGTTTTGATTTTTTGGTTGTATCCCACTTTCCTCTATACCCTAGCCAAAATCACAAGGACCAGAATGCTGATAGCATCCAAAACAGTGAAGGACATAGCACGTGCAAATATTTATTCATGTCTTTCCAGCCCAGACTTTGTGCTTCTCACCTTTGTCCTATGCTGACAAATACAGGGCCTTGTCCGTTTTTGGCCCTGCTAGTCCTGCCCCGGGAGAAGGCAATGGCACCCCGCTCCACTACTCTTGCCTGGGAAATCCCATGGATGGAGGAGCCTGGTGGGCTACAATCCATGGGGTCTCGAAGAGTCGGACACGACTGAGCACCTTCACTTTCACTTTTCACTTTTCATGCGCTGGAGAAGGAAATGGCAACACACTCCAGTGTTCTTGCCTGGAGAATCCCAGGGACGGGAGCCTGGTGGGCTGCCGTCTATGGGGTCGCACAGAGTCGGACACGATTGGCGTGACTTGGCAGCAGCACCAGCAGTCCTGCCCCATATCCCTAAGTTCTAAGGTTTTACCCTGGACCTATACATGAGATGAGGGAAATTTCCTCTGTAGATTCTGAAAGGGAGAAGAGGTAAGGTAAAAAGACTGATGATCTCTGGCAAGAGACTCCCCAAAATGTTTAATAAGTTCTCATTAAAGGGATACACTGGGTGAAGGTCTGGGGAAACTGAAAATATTGGTAAGTTGAATGAAATCAGTACAACTTTCACTTCTCACTTTTCTAATTCTAATGGAAAACATAAAAAAAAATCTATTCATCATCTGGGTAGTAACTCTTTCCATATCTAACCAATACTCCAAAAGTTGGGAGTTTAGGGTTAAGCAGTTTCATCTAGGGTTTAGCAGTAAAGATGGTATCTGGCGCCTTCTGAAACTAGTACAGGTTCCTACATATGGTTGTGGTAAAAAGCTTCCTTGGCGTTGTCACTCCCTTCTGATAGATAACGAAAGGTACAGGCCAGAGGGAGGGGCTCGTGGCCCTTCCCTCTATTTATTTTATTTCTCTTAGTTCCCAGAGAGCAGATAGAAGAAAGAAGACGGGTTGGTTTGTACAGACACACTACCAAACTGCTGGAAGCAAGAACCAGGTGCAAAGGGAGGGATCCTTTCTGCCTGAAGTTGTTGTCGTTTACTCACTGAGTTGTATCTGACTCTTTGCGACCCCATCGATGGACTGTAGCCCGCCAGGCTCCTTCTGTCAGTGGGATTTCCCAGGCAAGCACACTGGAGTTGGTTGCTGTTTCCTCCTCCAGGGAATCTTCCCGACCTGGGGATCATTGATGCCGCATCTGCTGCACTGGTAGGTGGATTCTTGATCGCTGAGCCACCAGGGAAGTCCAGTTACCTGACTTTGCATGTGAGCGTGCTGAGTCAATTCAGTCGCGTCCAACTCTGTGCGACCCTGTGGACCATAGCCCGCCACGCTCCTTTGTCCCTGGAATTCTCCAGCCAAGAATACTGGAGTGGGTTGCCATTCCATCTCCCATCTTCCCAACCCATGGATTGAACCTGCGTTTCTTACATCTCCTGCATTGGCATGAGGATTCTAGATAGACCTTGAGGGCAATTTGCTAAATGAAATGTCAGACTCAGAAAGACATATACCTCCTGATGTCACTTATGTGTGGAATCTTTTAAGAAGAATTGAACTCATAGATACAGAGAACAGATTGGTCGTTGCCAGGAGGTGGGGACTGAGCAAAATGGATAGAGGAAGTCAAAAGGCACAAACTACCAGTTAGAAAACTGAAAAGTCCTGGGGATGTGATGTACAACATGGTGACTATAGTTAATAATAATGTATTGTATATTTGAGAGTTGCTAAAAGAATAGATCTTAAAAATTCTCATCACAAGAAAAAAGTCCTAACTATATGTGGTGATGGATGTTAAATAGACTTATTGTGGTGATTGCTTTGCAATATATACAAATATCATAACATTATGTTGCACATCTGCGACTAATATGTCAATTATATCTCAATAAAAAGAAGAAACAAAAACGGGGATATTAATACTTGTTTTACAGAAGCAAAAAGGACTTTAAGAGAGTATCATGAATAGGTGTGGGCTTCCCAGGTAGCACTAGTGGTAAAGAACCCAGCTGCCAATGCAGGAGATGCAAGAGACTGGAGTTTGATCCCTGGGTCAGGTAGATTCCCTGGAGTAAGGCATGGCAACCCACTCCAGTATTCTTGCCTGGAGAATCCCATAGACAGGAGCCTGGAGGGCTATGGTCCATAGTGTCGTAAAGAGTCAGACTTAGCATACATGGATGCATGAATAAGTATATGCTAATACATTTTATAATCTAAAGGAAATAGACAAATTGCTAGAAACACACAAATTGCTACCATGACTGAATCATGAAGTAATAGAAAATTTGAATATACCTTTAATTAATAGGAAGATTGAAACAGTAACCAAAATTTTCCTAATATGGAAAAGCCCCGGACAAAACGGCTTTATTGGTGAATTTTACCAAACAGTTGTGGGTTTTCTTTTTCATTCCTTTTTTCCTGCCAAACATTTGAAGAAGAATTAACACCACTCCTTCTCAGACTCTTTCAGTATATCAAAGAGGAGGAGACATTTCAAACTAATTCTAGGACACCAGT